AAGTACAACATACTGCTTTTACTGTGCTCTGAAAAGAATTAGGTCAGCACATGCAACGCTCATACAAGATACGTTATGTGTAAATGTCCGCATGGCTTAAGTCAAGGGGCTTTAATCACAGGTTTGTTGCTGGGTAGATTTCACCAATTCCTCTCAGAAGACTTAAAAATATATAGTTTACCCTGGTAAGTGTGCATACTACCATAATGTCATATGGCAAAAGAATAAATTCATGAAACAACATGACATGATGACAACATGATGGCATCATGAGCTTTAATTGAGGGCACAAGTGGAAATGGTGCATAGACACATTTGGACTGATTCATTCATAGCCTGGTTCTGATATTAACAATGAACATGGCAGTAAGTGCAGGCGTGAAGTAGTGACATGTTCAGAGAGGACAGATTGTTTGGTTGATGGGGGAGGGGAGAGTTGCTTACAGGCGAAGGGGGATGCAGTTTCACCAGTTCAGTTAATACTACTGTTAATTCAGCAGCGCACAGCTTTGCCTTCCCTCCTTATATTTGTTACTATTAATTCTGATTAAAATCTTTTTCATTTTAAATATGAAATGTTTAAATTTCCCTCAGCTGAATTAAAGCTATATCTTATGGACACATACAAAAGATACACAAGGATTCAAGAGATAAGACATTTGAAGCAGTAAAATAATTTGTACTGAAAGTTGTGCTAGCATCTGTCTTTCATGATATTTTCTGTGAGATAATTATGCTCAAAACTACTTCTGATGCCAATTTTACAAATATTTAAATTTTTGAGTATTTGCAGGATTGTTAAGATGCACAAGCATATTCTCACCCAGTGAGGCATTGCTGCTTAAATTGGGCGCTGTAAGATTATTTCAAATTCTTCATGGGCTATTTTCTAATCTATGTTATAATGTTGCTTCCTCATAAAAATATACATCGAGTTTTGTTTCATTCACACATTTTTAACACACAAACCCTGCATATTTAGTTCTTCTCTCAGAAAATACTTTGTTCCACCTTTTGATGTCATGTGGTAATACAGGAAATACGCCACTATGTTTTTAAACTCCATACATCTTCACTAGAAGAATTTGGATAATTTCAGACCTGAAATTGCCAATCTCTACTTAACTAAAGGTAAAAGGTAGGCTAGCTGTTAACTTAAAAACTAACACTGCATGACATCACAAGGTGAATCAGAGTATTTTGATTTTTGGAGATGACTAATAAACCAGGATTCACTCAAACAAGGGTGAATGAAATATAGCTCCTGAATCCATTTTGTGTAGGCTAATATATGATCCTTAAAGTGTATATGACAGGTTAGAGTACTTTTTCACAAAAACATAGTTGACATCATTATATTTCAGATTTTACAAAAAAAAAAAAAAAAAAAAAAAAAAAAAAAAAAAAAGCCTGTCTTGTTATTTTCATTCTGGTGACGTTTATTTTACTTCCTGTTGGACGCGGGCAGCATAACTGTTACCTAGCAACCATAATGTTAACAAGGACCTTATGTGTCTGCACTATAGTTATGATTCAACAAATAAATAGGTGGCAACAGCTTTATTTTGTTAAATCATGTTAAATCTTTCCGAAAAATGTGTTCCTTGGTCATAAATTGTACTAATTTTTCTACTTTTCTTCAAAACTTTTTCCCACAAACTGCCACTTACCTGATGTAAAATTATGACAACTGTTTACCATAGTTACTATCCAACTAAACCAACAAAATGAGAAAAACATGAAACCCATCTGCATTGTCATATGCACTTTAAATCATCCTGAGAGGCAGGGCACAAAATAGTCAGATGACCCATAAAAATAACATATGTGCAAAGAACGTGACTCTTAGCCCCTTAGAAATCTGGCCTTATTGACATTAAACACCTAGGCCTAACTAAAATAACAAAAACTGAAACACTTGGAGTACAGATGAATGGCTGGGCTCTCTGTGAAGCTCAGACTCAATAGTTTTAGTAGCTGATGTCTGGGGGGATTGTTTGATAATCGATAGACAGTAGATTAAACATATGTTGGTTCTAACAATGCCCATGTCAAAGCTGAAACATATCTTGCTAAAAATGTGATTTATGGACAAGGTTAAGTCTTTTTTTGAATTTTAGGTTTGTTTTTTATTTTTTTTATTTGTGGGTTTGGAGTAAAAACTGGTCTAGATTCACCCCAGAAGGATTAATTTGACTGAAAATAAGGGGTGTTAAAGTTTTTCATTCATGTTTCAAAATAAAGTTTCAAAATAAGTATTCAGAATGTCCTGTTATGAAAGGAAACTAATAAAGCTAATGTATTAGATTTGCTCTGACAAGTTTTTAAATTTACAGTAAATCAAATAATTCAAATTCAGAGTGAATGTGACTGACTATCCAAAGTTACAGTTAAATCTTATGATCTTTCTTGTTCTTAATACTTATGTACAACTACTAACAGCTTATTTATTAATTAAATAAAAATTGTAAGCTTGTAATTATAAGCTAAAAAAATCTGTTTTACGCTGTAAAACTAAGTACTACTCTACTACAAACAGTACATTCTAACGAGGAACAGAAAACTGTTTTGTATTGGCTGGCGTGCTTTAACACGTGGTGAAGGCTGACATCATGTGCAGTGCAGTCAGTACGACCCAGGGACGTCTTTGCTTTGCTCACAGTGGCAAGGGAGATGAGTTGGCATAAAATAGCAATGGTGCATTTGAATTAGTGACTACATCCTCAATAATCGATGTAAGTCGAGGGGTAACTGACTGAGCAAACTATTACTGCCTCAGCAAAGTCACACTTTCATTTATAGTCCCACATTAGAGTCAAATGTTAGAGCAGGGCTCCACATTAATCACCCGGTGCCTGCATGGCCAAGCTGAATCCTTTATCTACAGTTTTCAGGTGCACAGTTTGCAAATGTAAAATGGAGTAGTATCAAGTACTCAGGGTTGTTTTCACCAGCCTTATCATATTAATTGGTCCAGTTTTAAACTGACTTTTGGGTAAAAATAAGCTGTTCTGTAAATTGGCCTATGCCTTTATTTTATACTTGGCCATGTGCAAAACAATAGCACGCATTTAGGTGAGGTTAAACACATACTAGGTATATAATATAACAAACAAGCATTTTCAAAGTAGCCTTTCTACAAACAAGCAATGACAACAAAGGTTCAGACTGAATACAGCAGAGCCAGAAAGGGTTCATGTAGCTCAGGCAGACAAACATTCATACCTTTAAAACATTTGTTTTAAATCATAGGCTTAATGCAATTATAAAAAACAACACTATCACGTGAAATACATATTCAAGTGTCCTCTGCATTTGACCCTTCAATCCAGAAACCTGCCAGGAACAGTGGACTCTGCAGTGCTGCAGTCTCTAGATCTAGAGGTGTTTTGTCAGGACCACCACAGATGGAGGACTTTACCTGTGGTAGTTATGATTTGACCTGTGGTGCGTTCTGGGTTGATGGAGGAAACCACAGAGCCTGAAAGAACCCTAACAGGACACGTGGAGAAACTCACATAAATGCTCACGCAGCCAGGAAAGTCATACCCAGACCTTTTTTCTATGAGATGAGACTGCTAGTTTTAGCAGCATAATAAAACTGAAATGTAAAAAGAGTAAAAATGGCATTTTAAGACATATTATTTGTAAATATTCTATAACTATAAGCCTTTGTAGGCTATCTCATGTAGTCATGGATACTGAGTGAGTTCTCCTCTTAATCATAGTTGGAAACATTATAGGCTCACCAGGCTGAGGTAAAACAGGCACATTTTCATCTGTATCTGTGTGACAAATACTTACAAATTAGATTTAAAAAGAAAGCAAACAAAGCAGTCCTCTAAGTGATGCCTCATGAGTTTCACTGTTACGTAACCATAACAACCATAACAACCACAACAACGTGACAAGAAAACAAATTCCTCTCATTGGCAGAATACAGGGAGGAGTGTGCTGCAGAATACATAGACCCTAAATTTGTAAAACATATTTCACAAATTGAAATCATGTTGCTTTTGTCAGTTTGATTTGGTTTATAGCTCAGTTTATGCTAATATCTCTTGAATGGCATGAATGTTGTACCATTGCTTGAACACAGCTCAGCAAAAGACTGAGTACAGGCAGCTCCTGCTGCAGAGGTCACTTTTAAACAAAAAAAAAAATATTGTACAGAGCAGCTTGTTACGGTTATACGTTTGCTCATCTCTTACATTATGGGTTGTATCAATAACTAATTCCTTCTGGCCACTCAGCTTCCTTGTAGCTTTCTTTGTAAGTCTGTGCTCTCCTTTTTCTAACCCCTCTTGTCATAGATCAGTCTATTCCTTTAAGTCTTTCTCAGTCTTTCCTTTTCCTTTCGGTACACATGTTGATGCAAGAACATGGAACCTGAGTGGCTGCAGTGGCACTAATGGTGAGCCCAGCGAGCTGCCTCCAAGTCTCTACAGCTGGAAAGAAGTGTTGCCTTCTTCTGTGAAATCACCATGGCAACAATCTATAGCCTCTCCTTACATCCAGCACATACCCCGATGTCCACGTTTAACAAAAAACGACCTACGGCCAGGAAATGAAGGTATTATTACACTGTTTGTGGAAAATGTGGTAGAAATCAGTTTGACATTGAAGGTTGAGAATATGACGGATCGTTACACAGGAACTTGAATGGACTAATCTGTCAAACAGAATAATAATAAATAAAACCAGCTGACATGCCACATTACGCCTCCCATGCTGTCCTTATGCTTAATCTGTCGATTATCTCCTGCGAAATCAGTAGGTCCTTGTAAGGAAAGTAGCCTAGTCTTAATGACGCACGTTTACAACAGCGCCTACGTTTTGCGCATATAAATGAACCTGAATCAAGAAAAAATCCCTGTTAAATAGGCTGTAGCTGTGTCCTTCACATGTGGCCACCACCATCACCGTGTGTGACCCTGTGTACACGGCGTAAGCAGAAGCGTGCGCACATGACAGGTGTCACTCGAAGCGTTTTTGCTCACCTTCTCTGTGCGTCTCAGCCAAGCGGAGCTCGGGGATGCTGCTCGGGTCACTCTGAGACCGTCCCCTCTGCAGCACACAGTCCTCCCCCAGCCCGTCCGAAGAGGCCATGGTGGAGCAAAGATGCGATAGGGATAGAAACCAAGGTCACACTAGCGTTTAAAAAATTATAATAATAAAAAATACTGGAGCTAATTGAGTGTGGCTTGTGCTGGATGGCCGCAGCTCCCGCTCCCCGAGAAGCTGATGGGGAAATCCATTACGCGCGCAGCATCGTGACGCCTTCACGTACTCCCTGTTAACCCTTGTGGTCAATGCAGTACTACTATGATTGTGAATCAACTTAATTAAGAGCCTTTAGTTGATGCGGATAACATTTTTTTTTAGCGTAGGCCTATGCACGTGCTCTCAGCACAACAGGTAAACAGGCAGCCATTAGAATAGGCATCTAAGTAAGACGCTGATGTTTATGTTATTAAATTATTGTTAGCCTTATTTTGAGAATGGGGGTTGATATTTTAATAGACCCATGAACTTTTAACAACAAGCCTTCCCCTGACAAGCTCAGTGAGCAGTGAAGACACATAAGCCTAAGTATTAGTTTTGATCGCCCTCTTTCGGCGAGAGAGGCCATTGACGCCTCGGGCACAGGGCCAGCCTACTTCTCTCTGATCTGTGGCACCTGGATATGTTGAGGCTTCCATTAGATTGTTTTTTACCATAACAAAATAGACAGCTGTATGGTGAGGGCCGTAAAAAGTGTAAATACTAAAGATGGAATCTGTCTTTGATCCACAGAAGGAGCGGGACATATTAGTATAACTGGTTGGATAACTGTCCGGGAACATCTTCATTGACGCTGTTGTTTAAGTTAAAAAATTACTGTTGTTTGTATCAAAACTTCCTTTTTATTCAGAATGATAACAACTTGGATAACTGCAGTGGGAAGAGTGAAGAAGTTTACCAAAATGTCTCATGTTCCAAGAATAATCAAAAATGCTTTTTTTTTTTTTTATTTAATTTTTTTTTGTAAAAGGGTTGTTTTTTTATTTTGCTCAGATGACCTTGACCAATTATCTGACTTTCTCCATGTCAGTCTTGTGTGATGACTGAATCTAAGTAAAGGTCCAGGTCCACAAGTGTCACAAGAGAAATGTCATTTGTGGATCTACAGCAATAGCTGGTAAATTGAAAATGTTTAGCTGTCACTGGCTCTGGTCTGGGGCCTTTCATGTTCAGCTTCCTTAAACCAACCTGAGATGTAAGTCAAAATAGGATTAAGTGGTTCTTTGTAGGCCCTTGTATCTAGTAAGCAACTGTAAAATCTAAAGAAAGTCTTACCAAACCCACCTGTAACGTTCAGAGGAATGTCACATGTGGCCATATAGCAACAGCTGGTGGGTTGCTTCCAAATCCAGAGACATGGACAAAAGCTTTGAGAGAAAAACATTTAGCTGGTCTTGGCCTTTGTTGTTCAATTACTATCAACTATTGTCCTCTCATTATATCACTATTCACTATTCTCTCATTCAGTTGTATAACACAATGACAAATGCTCTAGATTAGACAATTGAATTACCCCTGTTGCCACATAACCCTGCACAGATGGCATTAGAAGAGATTCATCCCACTTTCACAAGAAGTCAAGGACTACTTGCAGTTCCTGCAGTACAGCGGAAGTCTCAGCAAGTGTTTCCTGGTCCTTTTGGGCTGGATTAGATTCAACTTGTGTCAACTTGTATCACCACAACTACCTGCATTTCATCCACATTGGCTAAAGTCTGTGTCCTCCTCAGTTTCTTCATTGTCATCTTCATCATCAAACTCATTCTACTCACCTTCACCACAATCATCATCAGCAGCCCCAGCCACACCACAACCACCTTCAACATCTGCAAAACCAGCCACTGTAGCCTCTAGTTCCTGATTATTGACTCAAGCTGTTTTTGCAGAGGATTATGCAGCTGCAGCACCAGTTTATCCCTCGTTGAAATATCAGTGTCTTCAGTGTGGCTAGAGACACCCTGAAACCCTTCCTCAGAAGACTGAGACTGGACTTCTTCTAAATTCAAATCTTGAGAATCTGTTTGTGACATACAACTAGACTCTGATCTAAGTTGTTCTAGCTCCTCTTGGTTTTCTTCAAGTTCTTTTATTCTAATGTGAGGCTCTTTCTTTGGGGCATCACCTACCTGGGACTCTTTGAATTGTCTATTTCAATTTGCACATATTTCAAAAAGGCTCAGTACATTCTATCCAATTTACAGCCTCTTCAAGTGCAGACAACTGAGCTCTACGTTCCTCTAACTCAGTGCTTCTCAATTATTTTCTGTCATGCCCCCCCTAGGACGAATAAACATCTCGCGCCCCCCCGCGTGACTATAGATAGTATCATTTGTCTATAAAATTGTTATAAGTACACCTGTGCGTAACACTGCCACCTTATATGACGCCAACAACGCTCGCTGGTTTACTGAAGTAGCAGTCACAAAGCGGGATGATTGTCGGCAATATTCGGCACGTTTTCGCTGAAAAAACTCAAGCGGCTTATCAGAGTGATTGTGGTGTAATGTATTTAAGTGACGCCTTAATTTATTGGGCTTCATGCTGTCCGCTGCCAACATTTTTAGACGCAGTAACACACCGGTCTTTCCTCGTCTCCCACTGTAGTCACAGTGAAGCCAAGCGCTACATACGCTTCGTCATATTTCCTCGTCTTAGCTTTCGTGAGATTTTCGTTTGTCTCTTTATCTCCGTCTCTCTCCGTCTGTCTTCTCATCCCTGTTAAATATTTTTTCATGGTGTCACTTGAGGGTCTGCTACACTTCGTGTCTACACTTCATACTCAAACTCTGTGCTGTGTGCAAAGCGCGCATGCTCAGTGCAAACAAAACTCCTACACCACCGAGCGAATGCTCCCTGCGCACACTCTGCCAATGGGAGCGCCACTGTCCCCTAATGTAGTGGAAGTGCAATTGCACTTTATTCTAAAGGCCCGTTCAGACCAAAGCGTCAAAGCGTCCACTTTCTATGTAAAGTCTATGTGGACGCGCGACTAAGACAGTAAAAAAAAAAAATCAAAATAAAAAAATAAAAAAGCATGCTCCCCGAGGTCAAACTCGCCCCCCTTGACGGAGCCTCGGGGGCGCGCCCCACTATTTGAGAAGCACTGCTCTAACTGCACACTCAAATCATAGACCTCTTCTCTCTTTTGTGCAATCTGTCTCATATTCTTCTATGATCTTTTCCAGCTGTATAAAACCATCATTCTCTGTGACCAAAGTGTGTTTACTAACCTCCAACTCTGTCGCCTTTCTCCTCCCATTTCTGTGCATTCACATTTGTATTCTCTATCTGATTCTCATTTTCAGTCTGAAGTCTTTCAGCCTCAGAGGTAAGACGCAAGTTCTCCTCTTCCATCTGACATATAAATAAAACTAGATTCATATCCTCACTCTGGACTCTTTGCTCATTATATTCTCCAATCTCTAAAGGCTCATCTTGTACCTCAAACCGTTCACTTATTTGAGATGTACAACATTCTCGCATAGCTGGTGTCTTCTCAACGAAATCTGTCCCTAATGCCAGAACATCTGTTGTAATAGCCACATTCTGACACATTAACTGAGCTCTCAGAGAATCTATTTCCAGGGCTTGGACCTGATTATCACTCTTTAGACATCTGTTTTCTGCACATTGGTTCTCAAGTGAGAGTGTGCTGTTCAGACAGAATCTGACCTGATACTGACCTGTTCCTCGCACACATGAATATACTGTTGTGCCTGAGTACAAACACTTACTAAAGGAATATCCGTATTGCTGTAGCTAATGAACTAATGAATATGCTTGATGAAGTGTGGTAAAATAAATAAATAAATAAATAAATAAATAAACCTTACAAGAAACCAACATTGCTACACCTTACTATACCACTGCTCAGATGACAGTGTTATGTTTTTCTGTGGCCTCACTCTCACACCTGTGATATCCTGCATAGTTAAGTTCAAAAAAAAAAAAATTAAAAAAAAAAATTCACTGTGCAGTTACAACAAGTCGTCAGCAGATGGCGGTGCGCTACGTTAAAACATACCGTTTGTGCCTAAAAATCACTTGGGGTCTGTTCCATCTGTCCCATTATAGTTCTATGGTCTGTTCTTAAGAAAAACAAAACTTTATTTTTTTATGTAGGCTAGATATTATAAACCGTAAGCGCTGCAATATCAACATTACAGAAGCCTAAAAATGCTCGGAGTGTGAGACTTCCTTGTATTAAAGTGAGTTCCTGATTGCTTAAGTGAATTAAAACCCATGTGCTTCCCCTTTTCTTTCAGACTGCCTTTTTCACAGACGGGGGCAAAGTCTCTCTTCAAACAGTCAGCTAAAGGTAAGAGCACATTCATAATTAGGCCAAATAACTATGTAAAAATGGAAAGGCGTTATCAGTTTGTTTTGTGGACTTACAGTGAAAAGTTAGACTGACATTACACAGGTGTGGTATAAAAAAGTCGGTAAACATATCTTTTAATTTGCTAGAACAGATTTCAGACAGTTTCAATTTAAATGCATTATACTCATTCACTGTTGGATTCTTTGTGCTGATACAAAATACTAAATGGTGCGGTGTCGTGAGGCAGTAAAATCCTCACTGTCCAATAGCACCAAATTGCATTGCTTGGTCATTCATTTACTTGTATATTGTGTTTTTATTGTATATTGCCTGGAATGATTACTGTAAGAGAATTAAAATAATTTAAATCCTCCACGTGCATTTCTTAGTTTAACATTTTCATAGTTTCACATGAGCCATATTTATATTATCACTGTCCTTTGGTATACCATTGTCTAAATTGTGGCATATACTTCATAGTCTCCACACTCTCGATATAAACCTGCTCTTACTGAATATTCAATGATACTACTATGTTCACCTTTACTTCCACTTTTTTGGACGCTTTAAAAACAAGTTATAAGTTTATCTGCACAAGCTGCATTGAAGACAAGTTTGTGGTAGTTTTGTCTGTGTGAGAAAAGGCAAATGACGTTATACTCTATTCTTCTATCCTTGCTGTGTATATTAGAATAGTTATCTGGATTTTGAACAGATATAAGAGAACAACAGAGCATTTGAGTTCATAATTGAATTGTTTGGTTAACTTATCGCTGGTCATGTGATGTAGAGCCAGGCTTGGTCTATAACGCACTTCTCATGTGTTTTAAACCAGATCAGGAATGTCCACGATTGTGTTTTTGGAAATATGTATTAAATCAGTAAATAAATTATACTTAAAACAAAGCTCTGGCATGTAATTTAAGAAGTAATATTCAGGAAAAAATAATAACGAAATGGTAACTTTGATTTATGAGCTTAAACACAAACCGCTTCATGTGATTCTGATTTTCTGTTTCCTCTTTTTGGTGAAGATGCTTCTTCATGCTTGGCTACTTCTTGTGGCTTTGACCACTCTCACATCTGGCATCAATCCGGGCGTAAAGGTTAAGCTGACACAAAAGGGCCTTGACTATGGTAAGAATTTTGTATTATTGAACCATGTGCACTTACATTGAATATGTCTTTTTAACATGTCCCTGTTTATCTTTTGAAAGGCAGAGAAATTGGCATAGCGTCAATCCAAAAGAAACTCAAAACCATCAAGCTCCCAGATGTATCAGGCTCACAGAAAGTTAATCCTATTGGGAAAGTTTCATACAGTTTCACAAAGTAAAGCAGAACAGTTTGCACAGAAGAGGAAGTATCTTTGGAGCATTTAACAACACTATTGTTTTCTTCCTAGTATGCACATAACCAATGCTGGACTGCCCCAGTCAGCAGTGAGCCTAGTGCCGGGTGCAGGTATCAGGCTGTCTATTGGAAATGCCTACATGAGTCTGAATGGAAACTGGAGGGTCAAATACCTGAAAATCATGTAAGTAGAAAAATATGTCTGTCATGATGTTTATGTTTTACAGAAAATATGTGGTTACAGAAAAGACAGCGGCTCTTTTGATTTGAGCGTGAGTGGACTCAGTATTACTACAACTATTGCTGTGAACAGTGATGAAACAGGACGCCCTACAGTCACTGGCAACAATTGCGCTGCCTCTGTGGGTGATGTGAGCATTAAGTTCCATGGTGGAGCCAGGTAGGACTCCATGACCTGTTTGGCAGAAGAAGTCCCAGATAAAGTTCTTAAGTCATAATACAGTTTTTCTTCTGTCTAGCTGGCTGTATAACCTGTTTAAAAGCTTCATCGCCAAAGCATTACGCAGTGCTTTGGAGAAACAGGTAAAACAACTTCAGCTATCTGCTCTTCAGGAAACGTCTGGCGCCCTGTTAAGCCTGCAAAAGCATAATCATAAGCCACTTTAAGATATCCCCTTTTATTATTGCTGCTGTACAGATAAACTTGATCATGAGCTTTTTCATTGGCTCAGATATTTTTTGCAGATCTGTCCTTTAGTCGCGGATGCCATATCGGATGCAAATCCTTATTTAAAAACTCTCAATGGTAAAACACATAGATTGTTGCCCCTTGTGTGAATTTTATCTTCATTTAAGTCACTTCCAAATCTTCTGCAGTTTTGGCCAAAGTAGACGAGTATGCAGAGATCCAGTATTCAATGGTGTCATCTCCTGTCATCTCAGCCTCTTCTGTAGATGCAGGTTTGAAGGTAAATTACTGAAATTATTGAAGGTAATTTCTCAAATGTCTTTTAGCTCTAATAATACCATCTGTACATAATCAGGGGGAATTTTACAATGTTGGGAAGCACCAGGAGCCCCCTTTCACCCCAGCAGTCTTCACAATGCCGTCGCAGAGTAGCAACATGCTGTACATAGGCTTGTCTTCTTACACCCCCAACTCTGCAGGCTTTGTGTACACCACTGCCGGAGCCCTCAGCCTCTACATTACTGATGACATGGTGAGCTTCTTCACAGTTAAGAGTATGTGGAAATAAGAATTACTATCTCTGAACTTTCAACTTTGTCCCAACAGATCCCTGCAAGCTCCCCCTTAAGACTCAACACTCAAACCTTTGGAACATTCATTCCACAGGTTATCCTTCTCCTCATTCTTTGTCAACCTGGTCACTTTGCCTTCCTCACTCCTTTTGCTCTTTTTAATTACAGATTGCCAAACAGTTCCCTGGTTTGATGATGAAATTACTGGTTAAAGCAGGAAAAAGCCCAGTGATCACATTTGAATCCAATAACGCAACAATCAAAGCTTCTGGTACAGTGACGGCCTACGCCATCCAAGCGAATGGCACCCTTTCCCCCCTGTTTGTGCTGAACATGGTGTGGTAAATAGTTCTCAGAGGTTACAATAACTTCAAATGGACTAGTAAGCATGTCTGCTTTACTTTACTTTACTTTAGGATGGCAGTGTGAGCGCACAAGTGTTTGTTAGTGGAAGCAGACTGGCCGGGTCTATCTCTCTCAATGAGTGAGTTTTAACATTTTTGAAAAGAAAAAAATTGGGGCCAAGGGGTGCTTGTAAATTCAAAATGAAATTCTGATGTGTTCTCATTTGCACAGATTGAATTTGACCCTGGGGACAAGTTACGTTGGTGATTTTCAGGTAAGACTGTTTTTCATTTTAACATGCATAAGGATTGATTTTACAGAAAAACTCTCTGGATTTAGTTTGCTGCCCCCTGGTAGATTTTTGCACAGTTAAGGTTTTTTAATAAAACCATACTGAATATTATTTTACCCTTTCCAGCTGTTTTTATCCTTGGAGAGAGTAATACTTGTATTTATTCTGTATAACACAGGTGAAATCCCTCGACAGAATTTTCCAAATGGTCCTGAAGGTTGTGATCCTCCCAAAATTGAATGGTATGTATGAGCACAACAGAAAATACTGAGTCTGATGTCAATGTTTATAAAAAATACTAACTTGTGTGCTTGTAAGGTGTTCTATAGTTATTCATAAGATCTCCTATCAACCTTGAAGATTATGTCCCATGTTAGTTTTTAACAGACTTGAATTATTTGAGAAATGATCAAATTGTGATTTTTCTGACAACTTTGCTATTTCAATTAGATTTGCAATTTGTTGTTTAAAGGTGCACTGTGTAACTTTCCAGGTGGAGAGGTAAGATGCTTTGTCTGGAATGTTTCACTGTAGAGCATTAAATGTATTAATTTCCCTGGAAACAAACCAGTGACGGCACCAGGGCAAAGTGAAGGTCAGATCTGTGGAAAGGCAAGCCCGCATATAGTAAGAATGCATGTTTTTAGGGTATTTTTGAGGAATGAAAACAAGATAGATACGTTGCCATATTGTGGAACATTGTAAACAAAGTATAAACATCACCATGGAGACAATCAGGCGGTGGACCCTCCACCAGAAAAGTGCACCTTTTAATAATAGGATTCTGTTCAGACTTCACACTTTAAACATGTCCAGAAGAACTGACAAAATACAAGAATCACATTTCAGAACATGTTTGTACAGATCTAAAGTACAGGGTTAGCAGTTTTATTCAGAATAAGACATGTACTGTATTTTGTTGTCTGGGGAGGAAAACCTTTGCAGTTTCAATTGATAATATAATTAATTGTAATTAATCTTGCAGCCCTACTTTATATTTTTTTTAATCTTGCAGCTCATCTTGCAAAGGGATACCCACTTCCTACAATTGGAAAGATGAAACTTGTGAACACCCAGCTGCAGATTTTGAAGGTTAGTGCTCATTTAAGTTTATAAAAAAGTCCTGTGTTACTGTTGCAGACTCTGATGTGCTCCTGTGTTCTGCTGTAGGATTACATGCTGATTGGAACTGACGTACAGTTTTCTGGATGATGTGTGACGAAATAATCTCCATTTTTCTTTTGAGATTCTACTGTGTTAGTCACTGCATGATGTCACCTCTGCCTTACTTGAAAAAAACACACCCAACTCACATGACAGCCTTTTTGAACTACTGACATGAGGCAAAAATATCTTGAAAAACTTTAGACTAAGCTCACTGTGCTCTGTTGACATAATGCTGATCAATGGCTTTGCTTTTTGTTTTTTAAGAATCAAACTAAACAAATCAGTGCAAATACAGATATGACAAAAGACTAATATGAATACGTGATTAATTACATTTGAGAGCTCATAGACATTGTTACTTGTATGTGTGTGTGTGCTTGGTTCACACCTTTACTTAAAGAGCTATCAGTCCGTTTGCAAGTCAATTAATAAGATAAATAATTCTTTGATAAAACACCACAATGATCATATGTTTGATGCAGCTGGTTATGGCTTTATACTTTATACTTTTAGTGTTGATTTTTTTGCATTTAGAAAATAATGTATTAAAATAGATGAATACAATAATTTTGTGCTGGAAGCTGTTGTACTGGGGTATTTTAGTAATTGGTGTAATTGTACTTTCTGATAGAATAATAATCATAATAAAAAATAATGTTTAAGGTAAAAAAAGAGAGAAATCAACAGCTGTAATGCTGATTTATTTTGATGTCAGTAAAATCAGTGACCATGATTTGAACATGTTCTCCTTTTTTCTAGTTTATGTTTATAAAATTAAAAATCAAAATCTGGTTCCTTTAACAGTGCACTAGTAAATTTTTGGTTGCTGCTTGTTTATACGGATATGTTATTGCTCTGCCTGGAATGTTCCACAGTGTGGTGTGACTTTAATCAGCTCTACCTTACATTTATTAAGTTACAGGTGGTTTTAAAACTCCAAAATAAAACAGGCATTCTGACTGTGAGCAGTGCTACCTCTTCACTGATCTGACCTGTAACATGATTTGGTTTGGTCCCCATGAAGATAGAAAGGTATAATATTATACTGTGAAACATTCCAGACAAAGCAATAATGTCTCCACAAAGAAAAGAATTTGACATACCCTCCACCAGTAAAGTTGCACCTTTAAGTGATAAATCAACTATGTATCTCTAAAAATTTTATATACAATGTCATTTTATTGAGAAGGGTTGATTTGAAAGCAAGTACATTGGACCACACACACTTGGTACATGCTTTTGTGGCTTTAGCTTGAACCAAATGTTGATAATGTCATAATCACTGTCAGGAAAAGGCTCATAAGCGAAAGGGAGGCTTTCTTGTTGTTGTACAAAGTTGGAAATGAAACTTCCCTTTTTGTAAAACGAGGGACTGAGTGTGACTCCAGTAATGTAGTGTACTTCAAAGAGGCCAGAATGACATTGTAAAAACATAATGGTCCTGGATAATATGGCATTCATAAACACACAATTTATTGTCAGAAAGAAGGTACAATGGAATAAGTCAAATACTGTCAATGGCATACATATATAGCCTATAGACAACTAACAGTAACATTCAATTGAGTAATATATTTAACTTTTTATTTAAACTGAAATTGTCGAATGTACCCTACTGGAGAATAATATTTCCTGTGAAACCTCATGACATGGTAATTTCATTTTTTATTTTATTTTGTTCAATAAGTTCAACATATTTGGTGCCAGTTATAATACCTTTGACTCCAATTCCAGCAGATAGTAATAATAATATAATAATAAATGTACTTGGATATTTAATAAACTATAAATTCAATTCAGTTCAATTCAATTATAAGAAAGTCATGTCTTTATGGGTGAGTTGTTCATTCACAACATCCACAGAAGAGTAAAAGTCAACCTAAACAAACACTTTTGGAAACACTTCCTTACGCAATAGATGCTTCAGTGTGCGGCAGGTAACAGGTTAAAGCCCCACATACTGCCCCCGCCTATAGGAGGCGCTGTGTCTGCTGTTACAAATACAGTTTTGATACCTCTACAGGATGTACCCGGTATTTCAGCACTGTATTTAATGATCCTTCAAAGCAAAAAGTCAAGGAGGCACTTTTGTTTCTTTTTTAATGAAAAAAACAAAAAAACAAACATATATACATATATACCATCATCCACTCAAATTTGTTTTTTTAAAAAGATATATATATATATATATATATATATATATATATATATATATATATATATATATATATATATATATATATATATATATCTTTTTAATGACTATAAAAAAACTAATTTGAGTGGATGATGAGTTTAAAATTACAGGAAAATATGCAGCCGACTGTTAAAAGGGAAGTGCAATCACCTCTGAGTCTGGAGTAAGTTCCCAGTACTTTAACGTGGAGGGCAAATGCAAGTTTTTCTTCATTGGCTGTAGGTTCTGTGGTTTAAGTAGAGAGGATTCAGATCAGAGATTTTTTTTCAGTTTAAAGCAACTTGATTTCAGCATTGAAACTGGCAACCCAAATAAAATTTTCACGTGAGGCCCATTCTCTCCAAGAGAATAATACTCTTCAGAATCAGATATAATAGACATAAAAAAAACTTGGTCATCATGTTTAATGTCCAAGAAAAAAAAAACAATTATAATTCTGATTTATTTTGATATCAGTAAAATCAGTAATTGATTTTTACTTTTTTTCTGGGGACACAATAGTTCATGTTTATAAAACTTAAAATCAAAATTTTACATGTGGTTCCATGGAGTATTAAATAAAATATATTTATTTACAAATTGAATATATAATGTTAAGCTATAATAAACCAACATACAAGTTTATTGAAAATAATAACCAAAGAGGGATGAGGAAGGGCAGAATTTATGATAATTTTATTATTCACTCGAGAATCCTGTTTCTGTTTACCACATAAATAATATTTAATAAATAACTCAATCGGTGATAACTGTAAAATAGAGCCCATTATTAATAAGCCTTCTTGATTTTCTAAATAGCTGTGTGATCTACTAAAATTACACAAAAAAGGTGTAGGCCTATCTCACCAAAATAACAATCAATTTGAAAAGTGTTCAAATATCTTATATGGTTTCTCCAACACTAACACTCCTGGATAATGTTACTCACCATGAATCATTTAATCAAAAGCCTCACTCACATCAGTCATCAGTTTATCTCGATTTATATTATGAATCAAATTCCCATCCTTTCAGTTTCCTATTGTTACAAAAGCTTTGGTCAAGATCTAGAGAGAGAGAGAGGGGAGGTCCATGTGATGTGGGAGTGACCGAAAGCCACTATAAACTGTCCATGGATGCACAAGAGGACAGGTGCTTCTCCCCTGTCTGAATCTCTACATTACAAGATGAAACGCATGGACACCACTCATTAAGCGGCTTCAAGTTTTAACACCACACAGGTAACTTTGCCAACAAAATCCATGTATTATTATGACTGTAAAGTATGTAAAAGTATTATTGTTTGGATTTATCCTATTCTATAAACAGGGTGGACAGAACTGTTAGCCTCAGCGTTTTTCAAATGCAATTTCAACTCTGGTCATTTTTTCTTGGTATATGTCTCCTCCTGCAGTTACTGTGATGATGGAGAAAGCTGTTTTGCTGGTGCTCTTCTGTCTTTTTGTGACTCTATCAGGCTCACCTCTTTATCCATCTATTAGGTAAGTCCATGTGTCCATCTATTAGGTACGTCCAAGAATTGTATCTTTATTTGTTATTATTATTGTTATTATTTCACAAATTCTGTGAGGGCATACATGTGAAAATAAATGAATAAGTAACAACTATGTATATAAATTCTAATTCAATAAATGTATCTATATCTGTATCTACTCCAACTCAATCTGTTTACTTGTGTAATTGCCCTAATCTGCCATATTGTCATTCATTTGTGTAGGACTGCACATGACGATTGTAATGAAAGGGCTGAAAGAGGCTGTATTCATGATGTGTAAAAGCTATTACTGGGTTAAGTTAGCTGTCATAACCATGGCCTCTGCTGTTGTTATGTTAATGGGAGGTCAACATATCTGAATTAGTCACACTGTGCAACAATCACACTGGAGTTTTAAACACAGTCTGCTAAAAGCGTGGAAATTTGTACTCTAACAAAAGGACTGGAGGCTTTCTAAAACAATTTTTATATTCAGTTACAATTTTTATTTCATCTGTTATATTAAAATGGGCATACACATTGATCAGTTTCATATTTAAAATTAAAACTCACTTTTGTGCTTCAGCAACTATGGGCCTTGAGTGGGTTAAACTCTGGATACTAAGGTACATCACAGCCATCTGTCCATTGTCTCTTTCATTTCTATTAGATGTGCTCTTCTGTGGGCAACAGGAGGAACCCACATCAAAGCAGTGAGGATCATAGAGTCAATAAATACTTGATTGTGTACAATGTATTTGTTGATATAGATCTACTCATTTTGGATTGTAAACATTTAAACTTGCTTATCTGCACTTGACATACAACATTTGAAACAATTTACTGTTTTTTAAGATGCTGATAATCTGGACCTGAATTTGGTTCTGTGTAGTTTTTACTCTGAAATGACAAATACATTTTGATTTTGATCCATGTTAAGGTTTGGCCAAAGAGATACTTCAATCCTTATGACCTCATCTCTAGAAAGCCCAGCTCAGCTAAAAGACGACAGCACGCAGACTGAGCGAGCAGAGATACGGTCAGTCAATGGAATACCCACCAGTCACAAATAAATGCCATATCTCACTGTGCATGATATTGTTATTACCTCTAAGTTTTTTAATTCAAAATCTTACATGTGGTCCCTTTAAGTGACAAATCAAATATATAAAAAAAAAGTAATATACACTAGGTTATAGGCTAATAAACAGACACCTTTTTACACCTTTCTACCTCCTTATGACAAGTTGAGATAAACACAAGTACTGCATTTGCATTTATCTTTCACTGCTTTATGTTGCGTAGATTAGGACGCCATGCAGATGCCATCTTCACAAACGGTTATAGGAAAGTACTTGGTCAAGTCTCTGCAAGAAAGTTCCTCCAAACGATAATGGGCAAGCGATTAGGGTAATTAATTTTTGTGTTAATTGTGGTCGATGTATTAGAGGCTGTCCATTGCTGTACAATTAAAGGTGCACTGTGAAATTTTCTGGGTGTAAGGGCTCAGTCATGAAGATGTTGCTTTGCCTAAAATTTTTCACAGTATCATGTTAAATGTATCTATTTTCATGGAGACAAAGCATCATGCCGGTCCAATTTGTGGAGAGGTGCGCCTACTTACAGTAGAATGTATTTTCAAGGTATCCTTTTGCTGTTAAAAAAAAAATAACAAACACAAAAAAACTTAAATAATATGTAAGTTAATGTAATTTCAGGGGAAGCAATCTCACTTGCATATCTCCACAATGAGTGCTGGACTTGTACCAGAAAAGTTACATAGAGCACCTTTAAAGACACGTTGTTCTGTTTTTTTTTTAATGACTATGATAATGTTACTGTTGTGTCCAGTGACTTAATTATTTGTGTTAAATAATTACCATTAAAAAAAAAGTTAAATTAACAGATAAAGATGCATATTCCATTTCATCTACAGTTCAGTTCTTTTTGTCTAAAACAGTTTTTTTTTTTTGCAGGGAGGAGGTGGAGGGGTACATGAAGCGTCAATCTAACATCTATAAGGGGACATACAAAGAGGATCTCACGTCCATTCAGAGCAACCACAGATTCACAGGGCTCCAGGATGATGGACTATTGAGACCTAGGTTAGCATCTACCTCAGCTGTTTCTGCTATATTTAACACAAAGTAAATCTTTCCTCTTTTCACAGACTGCGGATTTGAGAATGACAAGGTCTGCAAATACATAACATCAAACCCAAATGCCAATTTATCATGAATTATTTTCAGTTCAATTGCTAATAAAAGGTATAAATATAAGCATTTCTTTGATTTGTGAAAGCTTGTTTTGGAATAAATTATAAAGAGTAAAATTTCAACAAGCATAGTCTAATATAGTAATGTTTGAGAAACTCACAAATACAAGGAACACTGCCCCTATAAAAGTGACTAAAGGGTTAAACTGGCTGAAATATTCCTCCAATTATGTTTCATTGTCACCCAATACAAATTAATGAGTACAAACGACAAAGAAATTCACCTCAGTTTTCTTTATTTCCTCTGTAATTACAAAAAACTTAACCCAATTCAACTGTTTTTTTCAAATGTGGTAAAACTGTACAGTAGAATAACATGTGGTGCGTGCTAACGGCGGACAAAATTTGAACAGAGGAAATGGGCACTGAGCATTGACAAAGAGGAATGTACAAAACACACAAATTTCTCAAATTCCACAAATAAAAAATTCACAAACGAAATGCAGCTTTGATGGACATTAACAACTCAAATCTCACATGAAGATGAAGTGCATTGATCAGTAGCTTTAGAGCTTTCAGTAAAACAATCTGTCATTGTATTTCTGCTGGTCTGTGCTCCATTCAAACAGATATTCATCTTTTACATTTTGGCAACACAAGACAAACAATTTCAAATGGTAAATGGACTTAGAAACTGCTGCACCATTGCTTCAAGTCTGGCTGATGTGATGTGGGATGACTTCTTACAAACCGAAAAAACAAGCTATGCCAGTATCGTCTTCACATTTGTACCTCTCAGTTTTTCTCATTTCTGTAAAAGATAAAATATGTGCGTGTTAGACAGAAAAAAAGTATAATGGCATATTTTTGGACTCTGTAGGGAACCCCTGTGCTCATGAATATACATTTTACATGACATCTGTGGAAGCTACAGCCAGGTGAAACACATGCATGTACCCAAACACTGATATCAACGTGGTAATGAGAACAGTTTTGTTAGTCAGATTATGGTTAAATCACTCTCTGTCGTTAAGACAAATATGAAAAGGATTGATTACGTAATTTGTTATGCACATTTTTTGTCTAAAATTTATTTTTTAAAGTAGGGCTGCAACATAACAACAACAATAAAATACTCATAGTAATTATCATGACATGCCTACTTACATCAACTTATCTCTTACCTATACAAGACAGACGGAACAATACTTTTTGAGGGTCAATATTTATTGTGTTTACACATTTTCTATGCTTTACTGGGAAGTAGTTTTTGAATCTTTTTGGCTAAATGATAAGATTTGAGCTGTAAAGGGTTGTATATAAAACTTCTATGACTCATTACAGATGCAAACAAGCTACTTAAGTGTTTAATTAAGCTGTTTAATGCAGCTTGTGTTTTTTAACAGTTTTATAGATATAGAATAGTTTTTGTGATTTATCCCACTGACACATTAACCCTAAAGCAGACATAAATTAGTTTCAATATTATCATTTATCATCTATAATTCCTTCAGCAATATATCATACTTCAAAAAGTACTATTGTGGTAGGCCTAATGATTCTGCTATTTATGATGATGATAATTGTTAACTGGACTATGCAGACATGCCACAAAACAACTTTATAACCATGACAGAATAATGTACAATATGGAAAAAAACAAGTAGTAAAATGTAACACACACCATGTACATTGGCCCTTGCTAACGAGTCATCCAGTCAATACAATACGTTGTTACGGTACAACCAAAAACACAATGAGAAGGGTGCATTGAGGCTGGGCGACTGAGGAGGATGAGTGATGGGCAAACCAGAACACAGGCAGCACATGTCTAAACAGTGTCAGTTAGGAGCCATGCACGCTATCAACTGTCATGACATCGCACTCAAGATACAGTCTTTGAGAGAGCCCTTACTTTGGCCAGGAAGCACGACCAACTCAACTCTTACACAAGGGCCTTATCGCAGGCTCCTATACTTTGCCAACCTACTACTTTGCTCGGCAGCAATCCTGAAAGAGGAAGAAAGAGACAGCCAAAGTGGAGATGGAGGGGTTAGCCAGTGGAAAGAGGAAACAGGAAGAAGAAAAACAAAGTCCTCAAGAGAGACTCGCCTAATAGTTGATCATAATTGCAGGAAATCTTAAAATGTGTAAAACTTTCTGGAAGAGTGACCAATTATTTCGCAATGTACTCAGTGACTGCCACAGACTACGAGTGGTTCAGTGTCTCCCCAGAGAGCTGTCAATGGCGTGAAGACATCTCCCTGTCACAGCCACTTCAGGTCCCCTCGTCATGACCTGAGGAGGCAAGGGACTGACCCAATTCTCTAAACACAGAGAGGCCCAAAGCGCCAGTGTCCTCGTCATTTAGATCAAGCCATCAGATCACGTACCTCTTGACAGCTTTCTGAGCCAGCATGCGGTTGCCGGCAAGGAAAGTGACCCCACCGATTATGGCCAAGTACTTGAGGGTCTGGAACATGTTCAGATGAGTCCAGTACACATACATGAGGCCCAGCATGGCTAAAAAAAAAAAAAAAAAAAGTAAATCAAATTAGGAGTTACAAAACCATTAAAAAAAGGCAGCAACTACAACATATAAAAATAATTAACTTGCATCTTTATTCAAATCTGTCATTAAAAAGGTTAACTGTGTAATATTTCTGGTGAAGAGTCCAAAATCAACTTGTCTCCGCCATTATGCTATTGCTTTGCCTGGCATGTTCCACAGCATGGCATTAAATACATCTTGTATTTATTCAATTACAGGTGTTTTTATTTCTCAAAACTACTGCAAAACATGCATTATTTCTTTGAGCGAGTCCACTTCTCAATAGATCTGACCTGTAACATGGACCACCTGTCTCCATGGAGATAGTTAATTAAATGCCATACTGTAGAACATTTCAGGAAAAACACAACATTGAGTTGGTGGATTCTCTACCAGAAAAGTTACACAATGTACTTTTTAAAAATATCTAAATTACAAAGTATACTGTTATTGATTTAAAATTTAATAAATCAATCTAAAATAAATGGTTTTCAATAATAAACCCCCCCCCCCCACTATGTCTGTATGTCATTCTTCTAATTAAATTGTAGGAAGTCTCTCAAACAGCCTTCAAACAGTGTAATATCCATTACGGGAATTTCATGAATAATGCATACATGGGTAGCAATTATCTTTCACACAATGTCCCAAGCAATTTTAGGTCATTCACTTCTTTGAACAAAAGCCGATGAATAAACCAAAAGGTGGAGAGCATAAATAATCATATGATGTGTACATTATCTGACTGTGACTGACCTGCGTGGCCAGTGTGGAACAAAATGGTGCTGGGAGAGAAACTGAAGTTGGAGATGTTGGCTCCAAGCTTCAACCACTACACAGGAGAGGCAGAATAAAAGACTGTTATTTTTATGCACAAGAGCTCTGAACAAAGAGATGAAACTGTTTACCGTCTCGTACACAATACACCGTTACAATAACTATTACACAGCAGCAAATGCCACGAAAACAAAACGCGCCAATGCTTTTGTGATTTTATTAAAACAGCATAATCATGAATCACGGGGGCCTCGTATACAACATAAAGAGGATTTCTGGGAATAAAATGCTTAAAAAAACTTCAGTTTAAACCTGAACAGTAGAGATGTGTACCTTTTAGGTGGAACATGTGGTTTATATGTGCTAAAAATAAGAAGAAATTTACTTAAAAACAGCTCAAGATGTGGGTTAAGAGATTTCGATGATGACTGGGATAAGAAAAAGAGTACACTGTGTACTAGTCACTGAGGGGAATTCCTATTAATAGAAAAGGGGGATTCCTGCTGTGATGCTTATAACAAAAAGGAGCCTCTCTTACCAGGATGAGAAGAAGCAGGAGTGGAGAAAGGACCAGTGCTGTGAATGTGTTGGAGACAACAGTGGGAGGCTTTTTCTCTGGTTCCCTAAATAAGTGCTGTAGACATACGTAGCAAATATTTTCATTTTTTGTCCAGCCTGAGATGAACAATGCAACCTTTTGCGACCTATAAATATTACCTGAATCTCTGGTTTAGGAACATAGAGTGTCTTGGGCTGGATTGTAGTTGGAGCTTCCTCATCCAAAAATTTCAGTACAACATCAGCCTTAAAAACACACAGGTCAATATCCAGGTCCCAACATTCATTAGTATCAGATTAAAAGAAATATCCTAATCTAACACCCACCACATTCCATAATATGGGGTTATCCAAGGTTGCATCACCGACAATCAGATAAAGAGTATATGTCCCAGAGATGGAGTCAAACTCAGATTTTCTCTCCGCTGTATCCAGTTCAAATTTATAAACATTTTTGCTGTCTGGTTCAGCCACAAATACAACTTCTTGGCCAGTTTTCTGGTTGTGCAGACGAACAAAAGTCTGAAAAAAAAAAGGTTTAATAAATATTAAATGATAATGTTTTGATTTGTGAAAATGTTATGATTAAAGTTACAAGGGTGTAATACCTGGTGAGGGGTGAGCTCCACTCCAGTGTTGGTGTCGACCAGCTGGAAGGACATGGCAAAGTTTTGGTGGCTGTCTGCTGTGAATGGGGTCTTGGCTTTGGATGGATAATCCACTCTACAGATATTCAGGAAATATGTTATATCATTTGTCAGCAGTTTACGCAGCATTGTGAACAAATATATCTGATCTTACCTTGTGGTTTTTGTACCAATGCTTTGGTCTTTATCCACGACTGAAAGGTCCATGTTGGTTACAGCTACCTCTGTTGACACCTTCACCTTAAGCTTTAAATTCACAGAAAATACATTTTAACTGCTTGGATTTTACCATACTTTTAAGGCATACTAATTAAGGTCAAATATCAAAACAATTTTATATTTGGTGAAAAGCAGTGCAATATACTGTAAATTCCAAAGAGCAAGTCTAATATTAATGCAACATTAGTACACAAGTCATGACCTAAATAAGCCTCACATAAACTATGAGGCAATAAAGTATTGTTCAATGTTTGCTAAAAGGGTTATGAACACAAAGGCTTACCTCAACATGATTAGCCACCAGTCTGCTGTCTCCAGTCACAGCCACAGTGAACTGATAATATCCACTAGCTGGCTGACTGGACATGAAGTTCAGTTCAAAAACTCCACTATGGAAAAGAAGGGGGGGAGAAACCACTTAGTAAAGATAAAAGGTTTTCCTTTTGAGTGGTGAGAGGACAGTTCAAGTTGCAAAGTCACTACTATGGACTTGCTAATTACTGCGCATACACAACATAATTCTAATTCTTTTTCTCTTTCCAGTATGGTCTTATAGTACATACTCATTAAGAGTGAAAGGTGCTTGGCTAAGGATGATGCTCTTGGAGGCCACAGCGTACGCAGATTCCACCAGAACATTTGCTGAGGCCAAAGGCTGGGACATGACATCAGTAATAAGAAGCTGTGAATCAGACAAAATTACATGGTAATTACACGGTCACTGTCAGATCATTAAATCCCAGCACAGAGGAGTTCTTCTGTCTTATCCTCACCTGCAGGGTGGGCTGGCTGTGAGACACTGTGGCAGGGCCCTGGGCAGTGACCACTACAGGAACATGGAACCGGTTGTTCGAGAAAGCTGCAGCAGCACTGGCCACACTAAAGGCCTCAGATAAGGAGTCCCAGGATTTTTTACTGAATATTGAATTAACCAACTGGATAACCTGATCCTGAATAGGAAAAATGCATTTTGAGTTATTCATGCAAAGATAATGAAAAGAAAAGAAAAAAATAAAAAATAAATAAACAAAACAGAGTAAAATGTTACCTCTTTAAGAGGTGGCTCCATATCAACATGATCAGACAGAGAGTAAGCAGCAGAGACAAACAAGGCTGTTGCTTCAAGACCCTCTTCAAACTGGAGGTAAAGGCCACCAAGATCATCCAAACGAGCTGTCAGATCCTGAAATGTAACATTAACATCATAATACAATGATACATATGGTCTAAAGCTCCCCCTTGTGGTCATTTATTACCTCGATTTCCTCCAGAATTGCTCCTAGTTCTGCCTCCTGGGAGAGGCGAGCTGCTGTGGCCAAAGCCAGCGTGATGCTGTAAATAGATGACACATAATCCTTTTAAAATTCTAGTTTATGTAAACGTTGCCAACTGTCACTACAAAACAACTTACGCCATAACATTTTCCTCTTTCTTGATGCGAGCAGTCAATGCACCTACGACTTCTTGGGATGCCACAGGAAGGCCTAAAGAGCTGAGTGCACTCACTGCCCGATGAATCTGAGTCATTGTTGAATCTTCACTCACTGCTGCTAGAAGGATATCCCGAGTTTCATTTGAGACAGGGATCTAAACAATAAGTAATTTACAATTAATTGTGGCCTACTGCATTTCTTTCTCAAAACAAAGTGACTGAAGGCACATTACCTCACATCCTGAAATAGCATTACTTGCTTCAGCAGCAAAAAAGAGGGAGTCAATGCTCATAGGGTCCAGCTGAGATTTAAGAAACCGGCAAACCTCCTGTAAATAGAAGATGGGCTTACATTATGACAAAAAACATAATCACTAAAAGCCATGCGTTAAAGGGCACATATTACACTAGTTTGTGTATCTATTATGTTATGTCATCAAAACACTTGCCTAAAGTTGTGTTTTGTTTCATTCACAAAACAAACCCTGCATATTTGGGCTGAGTTCTTCTCTCTGACTTAAAACACTCCACCTTGTGAAGTCATGTGGTGATACAGGAAGTGCTCCACTGTGTTTTCAAACTCCATACCCTTCACTAGAATCATTTGGATAATTTCAGTTCTGGATTTGACCATCTCTACTGAAATAAAAGGTAAAAGGAGCTGTTAAGCTGAAAACTACTGCTTCATGACAACCCATGACAACTCAACAGTGGATATTGAGGTTTGGAGATGTAGACAGACTAATAATAAAGGACTACTCAAACATGTGTGAATGAAACAAAACACAACTCCAGGTATGTTTTGGAGGAGTTTACAACACTCTAAAATGGCTTAAAGCTCACAAGAGTTCATTTTGTGCAATATCGGACCTTTAATTAGTCTTCAAACTGATGGTAAATTTTAATAATTACATTTTGATCAGGCACAACACCTCCGAGCTTGGTCAGACCCACGACAGAGTAGTAAGCAGACTCGAGATCAGTGAAGGGCTGTCCCAGAACAGCCTGCAGCCGGGCCACGTCGGATAAGGACAGGTAATGTGTCGGTGTGAGCGCTGGAGCACCGGCTAGTGCAAGACTGAACACCAACCACCCGAGCAGCCCTGAGGAATCAGATTTAAAACATCGTAAAAACACACATAACATAGGAAGATGAACATTATGCCCCGTTTTGCTTTTGCATCTCATTCGATATTCATTCATTGACAGCACTTCCTTGCTTTAGCGGGGAGCCATGCTAACGTCAGAACAAGATCATATGAATGCAGCCTGGCTACAAAAACTGCTAACTTCTCCGCCATGCAATGCAAAGTACTATATCTAACACAGCTATGTTAATGCCAAAATATCCCACAATATAACTGAACTTCTAATATTGACTAAATTACTTACAAGACCGGTCCATGTCTGGAGATCTAATGCAGCGTCACCAAAACCGACGTGGGTTTCCGGTGTCTTTAACTTCCGCTTCGTTTTTTCGAACGACTTCCGGAATTTCACAATAAAAGCACAAAAATGTAGCACGAGATTTGGCGTAATGAATACATTTTTTAACAATAAAACAAAAATTATAATTAAAAATAACATTAAGTTATCCATGTAATAATTATGACTTTGCCTACATGAATTTTGCCTACACAAGTGGTATATTTAAGACATGCTAGACAAACTTAAATGTTTTACATTTTATTTCATTCTGAAAATCGTGACAAAAACAGCTATTTACATAGTGTCAAATAAAACACAATACTCCAGTATATGTATTATCTTCTATTCCATCTACCCATTCCTGATGCAAACATTTGTATATTTTCTCTTTACTGATTGATTACACTGAATTCAGCAATGTTTTAGCAACATTTCACAGCCTATTACATACATTATCAATCACCTTTGAAACATTTAGTTCCAAAATTAGAAATCTGACCATGAGGTACAACCTGGGTTATCCCCATTTAAAACACTGTTAATTTACAAAGACATTATACAACCAATCAGTACTTTCCTTGATTTTTTTTAAGAGCAAGAGTGTGTGATACATGTACCTTTTCTACTGGTTATTTGTGACTTGCTGCTTGGGTTATCTCTAATGAACCCACCTGCAATCTGTTTTGAAAATTACTGATACAAAGAGACCAGTCTAGCCTCATATCATAAAATCAATGTGTGACAAAATTTTCTTCCCAGCAGTGTACAATTCAAACAATAAATATAAAGTACTTTCAAGACAAAATGAGTGCTCTGTTATGACCATGTGACTTCAGTGAACGAAGAAAGCGCCTTGCCTTCTCATTCATTATTAACTGGTCTTTAGTTTGTCCACATACAACAGTTTCCCACTCTTTTGTCATCTGAAAAAGAAAGATAATTATATACACTATAAACACTTCACAGCATATTACCTTAGAGCACAGAAGTATACTTACTCTAGGCATGTGTAGAGCATTGGGGAAAAAAGCACTGTCACTTGGCCCCAAAAGGAAACCCTGATCCAAGATATTTTCATGGCTTCTATTACAAAGTGATGTAGAGCTTAGAGAAATTAACATAGGTTCTTCCTGCGAATAAAAAAAAAAAAAAAATTACATAAAGTCAAACTAGATTGATAAATATGCAAACATTTTACTAAATCTCACCTTAATGTAACGTTTGGCCTCAGTTTTCATAGATTTGCGCTTAGATGATGGCATGTGACAGTCCATAACATCTAGAGCCAATGACTTGCGCACCTTCATTGGTTGGCGGTGCTTGAAAAGGGGAAAAAAAACAAAAAACATTTTAATATCTATTTTTGAACAGAGAAAGATCAAAGAAAACGCCTACACATGTCTAACTTGCAAATTGTGAATTTTATTAGGACATTGTATACTAGGGGTGGGATGAGACCATTTCCACAAGATGAGACAAGACATGAGATTTGGTCCATGAGAATAAGACAAGATGAAATGTCGATATAATTTATAATAAATAAATAGTGTGGTTCAGTTCACAATTTTGGTCCATGTTGATTTCCTTTATTTTATTTTGTTGTCAATGTAATGCTGCTTTTTGGAACTAAAGCATCTCATGAAACGTAACTCACCCACACAAGCCCTTTTTTGTTAAATCCAAAACTTAACAGATGGGGAAAAAAAATCTCACAAAGTCATTATTTTCATGTGGGCAAAATTTTGTGGCAATTTTGTCTCGCAATATCTTGTGGCATAAGATTCGTGTTCGTGTACTTTTTTTTAGTGGTCACCTAGACTTCTTAGCTTTGTCAAAATTTTTTAAACAACCATTTTTTAAATTCTAATGATACACAATAATGTAATGCAAGTAGTTGTTTAGTGAAGTCTGGTTGGGGGAAGAGTTTGAATAAGGGTCCTTACACCTTATAACCATTTGAAAAGGCACTCAGTACTTGTAATGTATGACTCTTAGGCGTGACTTGAGTGGCATGCAGCGTCAAACCAGGGTGTTAACAAAAAGTTCCCAGGGCCAGCCAGTAGTTTTTCGCAAAATACTCAAACGTGATACACAAGATGAATATATGGCTTAATGTTGCTCATCTAATATAATAAAATAATAAAAAGTACAGTTATGTTTACCGTAGTTTTGCGTCTTTGTTCAGGTGGTGTTGAACAGGCAACAGATAAATCAATTCCAGCATCTCTGAGGATCACTTCATTTATATCATCTTCAAGATTTGGGGTCTGAGGCTAAAGTAGGAATAAAAACGTCAGCAAATCTGCACATTAATGTACTATGAGACACTCAACCACATGAAACACTCACCAGTGGCTGGAGTGGGCCGTATTTTTCCATAGCATTTTTGAAAGGAGTAGGAGTACGTGGGGTTGTACAGAGCTCGGATTTGTAATTTGGTGTAACAAACCTGGACATGTGGATGCAGACATGTTAAAATGAGATCAACTTTCAACATTTTTTGCAAGCCGGGGAATACATACACAGAGTTTTCCTTCTGAATTAAAGGTGTCTTGTCACGCTGCAGAGGTGTTGTCACAGAGGCTTTCTGGCTGCATACAGGTGTTGATGTGAGAGACGGATTCTCCAAGTCATGGGTATCTTGCTTGGTCCACATGTTGAGGAACTGAAATAACAAATGCAGTTAAATGCTATAAACATCCACTTACATTACTCCTTAAAGTGATATGCAATGAACTGATACACTACATGAAGCTTACCTGTGATGGGGAAAAGGGTAGGATTTTCACGGGTGTGCTTTTTGGAGTCCTGGAGTTGTTGGCATCAGGAGACAAAGCGATGCGTCTATGGCTTTTGCGGTTAAGTATAGCGGGCGGGGTGACACCACCAGGAGAGATTGGGATGAGCTCTCCCTTACTGCTTTTGCTGAGTTCCTGTAAAGCACTGCCTTCAAGACGAAATTGGTGACGTTCAGGGCTGGGGTTTTCTTCTGGCAGATCAAAAGCAGCTAAGTTGCACCACCCATCCAGGTCCTAAAGCAAAAAAATATATAATGTCATATATATATTTTTAAATTATTTTAATTTAGCTATATAAGTAGATTACAGTCGCAAAATGGCAAGATATTAGTCCACCAATAGTTACATACCCCATCTACCATATCAAGCACTTCCTTCAGGGCTGGGCCAGTAGGAGACAAAAAGCCTGAACCGTCCACCACCCAACTAGTGCTATTCATGTCAACCGTGTCTGAATCCACTTTAGGTGTCGAGTTGACCTTTGCTGTGGTGTCAGCCTTTGTGGAAGCATCATTACTTGGTCCAGCTCGGACTGAGATTGGAAGTTCCTTTGGAAAAAAAAAAAACAGGGTTTAACCAGTGCATAAAAAGTCACCCACTACATTATAAAAAGAACAAGATACTTACAATATGATGCACAGTATGTTTATGGTCTTGATCAATATCTACTGAGCAAGTGGAAATCTGGAATCAGAAATAATTTAATGAAGATTGAATTTTGCATTGTTTCATTAATCTTTGATAAGAGAGTAAGTAAAACTTTACCTGTACATTTTTATCAACTTTGGCCAACAGTTCATCAAGTTCTTCTGGGGTAATTACCTCACCCGTATAAAATCCCAACTCAATCTTGCGCCTGATGGTTGAATTCCAATGATTCTTCACTGCATTGTCAGTCCTAAATAGGGAAAATAATTATCAGGGTTTTTTATACAGTTAAAAACACATTACATTAAGCCATAACTGTAGTTACCGTCCAGGCAGTAATTTTGCAATCTCAGCCCAACGGTTTCCCAGTAGACAGTGAGCTTTGTAAATGATAAGATCTTCCTCTGCTGTCCAGGATGACTTCTTGACATTTGGATTGAGGTGGTTATGCCAGCGCTCCCTGCACTGTTTTCCTAGCCTTCCCTTTAGATGCTTGGCTACCACTGCCCACTGTTTATTTCCATAACGATTTACAAGCTCTATAACCTAAAAAACAATTGAACACCACATACACTATGGTTACAAGTATATTTTTGTCTTTAAATTTTACTTGCTCATAAGGTGAGACAATTGGACACATTTTCCCATTTCTAGTACCCACCTTCTCATCCTCCTCCTTGGTCCATGGACCCTTAACCAATTCTGGATCCAAGACTTTAAACCAACGATGCTGACACTGGTGTTCACTGTGGGTCTACAAAAACACAGTGTTTCATATAGTAGGCATTCATTAGCGATGCACAGTTACAGGCACTGTTGAGGAAAAAAAATGACTCACTGGAATGAGACTGGCAATACTTTTCCAGTCAGAAGTTCCCAGTTGTTGAACCAAAGCTTTCAGTCCATCATCCTGAGAAGGAAAAATAGGTTATTTGCTGCAGTTCTTCAGACTATGGCAGAGTCTACTAAAGATCTCACTGACCTCCTCTTGTGTCCATTTCACCTTCACTTTCCCACCATCCCTCTGCTCTGCCACATCGGAGTCTGTATCTTGGTGCATGGTCTCTTCTGCATCCTCACTGTGGGTAAACAATGAAGTGTTGAGAGCATTGCTAACTCAGAGACAAGAACACTGCAAACTGTAAAGACTGTCCCGCCCAGATGCTACATCGCGGTGCTACTTCAGTGTAGCAAAAATAATCATAAATGCACGTGAGGTAAAATATGGATTTACTTAATATAAATGACATGGTGAACCAAATTAAAACCTCATTCCAGAAGAGGTTAAATGGTGTCTGCCGAAATATTCTAGCTTCGCGATACTGTCCCGGAAAAAGGCGGCACATTGGCAAAATGTGGGACGAAAAGACCAACTTTGACGGCCTTAAAAACACCGGACTGACACTGACTGCATACATAACTGCTCTGATATGCAATTAAAATTTAAGTCACAAAATAACCACAACTAATGCTTCACCGAAAACAATGATCTAGAAGCCTACCTGCGAGGCCACCAAGACATTTCCCTTGAATTCCCTTTTCACGAAGAGGCACCAATTTGTCCTTCCGAGGGTGCAGAATATAAGCGTTCCAGTTTAGTATTCTATAGTATATATTTTCATGTATAAAACAATCTCAAGTTTGATCCGTAGTGCAGATAGTGGCAGATAGTTGCAGACAGCTGGATCCTGTAGCCCCATGGATAGTCCGCGCTCTGGTTTCTATCTCGCGCCCACTGACTAGGGAGTGACGTAAGCGCGCAGTACGTCTGCGCGTAAAACACGTTTACGTTCCTGTCTTTTAATAGATCCATGGTTCCTGTAGTCCTCCTTCCTATTTATAAATTGCATTTATTTTATTTTAATTTAATTAAGGAGCTGAAGAACATTAACATTATCCAGGACTGGGTAATTATTTTGTTTAATTAAAATTTATCCTACCTGTTACTGGCTTGTGTTTAATGGAAATTATAATTATAATAACATTTTAAAACACGAGGTAAAAATAATTAGTAATTAAAAGTTAATTAAAGTATAACAGTGAAGGCAAGAAAACCATGTTGTTGTTTTTTTAATAACCATGAATAAATATAATTAAAAGTTACAATTCGAATTATTTATTTATTTATTTTATTTTTTTTTATGGGTAGAAGTTGATGTGCTTTACACTGAAAAGCAGGGTCCACTTCCTTCAGATTGATGAGACTTCCAGCTGGGCCAATTAAGTAGCCTTATCTAGTTCAGCTGTCTTCTACAGGCCCAAGGACACCATGGATAAGGCGTTTGGTTACAAAGGTATAATCAACAAACTTTACTACTTTACTTTATTCTAAAGGTATAATCAACAAAATTTACTGTGACCATTGCTGTATTGTAGCTGTGTTCTGTGTTGCATTTTGTAGATCTGAAAAGTTTTGAGTGTTCATCCCCGTCTGAACTTGACAAGAGGTTTTATGAGGAACAGAGCTTGCTGTCCGCTTTGTCACTGACTCAGCTATCAACATCGAGAGTGTCCAATGAATCTGTGGCCAACAACGGGTCTGATATGAGGCTGTCCATACTGGCCTCCCTCTCCACCTCCTTGGAACCCATCTCTCCATCTCCAGTTTTATCTGTGTCCAGCATAAATGAGCCAGACCCAGATGGTTGCTACCTAAATGTGCCTCTACAGGGAAAGTCCTCCACACCACAGTTGTTCCTTCCAAAACAAAAGACTACCGGCTGTGACCAGTCATTCACTGACCTGGTCGGCTCACAGATTTGTTGGGATGTTTCCATTATTAAATCCGAGAGCCCAAAAATCACAATGGAGCCGAGTGCTTCTGAGTTAGCTTGGAGCCCCAAACAACCATCTTTGCAAGAGCCTGATCCTAGACTGTCTCCCTGATTTTCTTTATTTTATACATTTAAATGTTTTTAAAAGATCTGAATCACTGAATAAAATGTTGAATTGCTAAAATGTCTTATCAATATAGACATGTTTTATTTAGGAATGTATAATTGAATTTACATGAATTACAAAAACCACAGAAGTGCATGGTATAGGAACAAGTACATTGTACATTGCTCATAATGGATTGAAAGGCACCTCTGCGTCAATGTCCTGCTCCTGTAAAAGAGACAATTAGATTAAGCAGTGGTGGTTGTAATGAAAAGCATATAATTTATGTTACCTGATTGAGTTTCTTGAATTCAACAACTTGGAAGAAGACATGTTCCAAAATGTGCTTGGCATCTCTCTTGTCTTTGTCCAACTTTCCAGTCACCCCCAAAATCTCTCCACATTTTCGTACATAAAACTCAAGATCATCCTCTGTGCCTGAACAATAAACATTTGCATATCAAAATCTTCATTACTCTTGAGAGAATAATGCAGCTATAAGAAAAAAAAAATATGAAGGAGAACTTACATTTATTGGTGAGTTGAGCAAGGCGTACCTTCTCAGATGAGAATGACTCATCCAGATCAAACAGATCAAGCATTGGTGGAGGTAAATCGCTTATAGAAGGAGGAAACACCTAAACAATACAATAAAATTTGGAATTGGATACAAGATAGGGAATTACAATAATTCAGTATATTTACTATAAGACATATGATGACTTACAGCAGGCTGGAGCTGAGGAAGTGGAGTCTCAAACTGTGGGGTGATCAACTGAAGAGCCTCACATTTAACATTAAGTTGCTTGTAGGCACTGTAGACAAACAGGTTCACCATAAAAAGATGCACTATATATTTTTTTTTACTAGAATGTTCCACAGTATGGCATTCACTTAATACATATATCAACTTACCTAATAACTTGGGGCAAAGTGTCGGTGGACATGTTAAACAGTGACGTAACAAAGAGTTGTGTGAAGTCCCTGGGGTTTTCATCACCTTCTTGTAAACAAACTCGCCGTTGCTCAGACAAGCCTCCAGTGTCTGGCAACATGGTGTAATCTGTGATCTGAGGGTTGAATGACCAATGATTGAAAGCAATAGGGTACAGTTTTCACTGTATAATGGACTTAAATCATACCACTATTAAATAAATGCTATTATTTGATTATTTTACTTGTATAAAGATTCATATGTTTAAGCTCAAGTAAATTATTAGTATTTGTTCACAAATAGATTCCATACCTCTGGATCTTCGGCATCAATCTGATTGAGTTGAACTGTATCAGTCATAAACCATTGCAGCAAAACATCCTAAAAATAAACATGATTTCATATATTGTTTAAATACTTATAACTGATACACTAGAAGTACAGTGACTCACCAGGATTTTACTATTCTCCTCTTTATCTATGTATTGGTCACTAAACATATGACAGGAGCCCAGTACAGCTAATTTGCCAGCCTCCTAGAAGAAACAGAGAAAAAAAGTATATATTAATCTACATGAACAAATGTAATAATTGTTTTTTTTTAAATCAACTTACCTTTCCTTGGTAAAAGGCTAAAACAGGTCTGTTAAGGGGGAAACAGACTGAGCCACTTGAAAGAACTGCTACAGCAGGTTTCATTACACTCAGCGTAGCGCCATATGGGTAGACAAATGTTAAAGCTCTGTAAAAACCCAATTATCATGAGGTTGTTTTTTTTAAATTCAGTACAAAAAATCAAGTTCTGAAAATAACAGATACATTACTGTGCATTATTTCCCACATTTTCATCTTCTGTAATTCCAGTCATAGCTTTTCCAGCTGCTCGGCTGATTTCCCTACAATAAAAATAGTCTTAAAAAGAAAGTCTTAACAATAATTTAAGATAAAACACAAATTTAAGCAACAAACCTATTCAAGACACCATTGGATACAAGTGCCTCTTTTGGATGGAAGTATTTATAATATACATTCCTCACAACAGCATCTACATGTCATTAAGAATAAAACTATTAAAAAAAAGAAACTCAATGAATCTATAGAAATCTGGCGAACATTTTACAGACATACCACTATTGACCATTATGCCCAAGTCTTCCAGCAGAAAGTTAATATTGGTGTCAAATTTAGATTCTCCTCCTTCACCCAGCATTACAAGTACATTCCCTCCTTCATCAAGGTAATGTTTAAGTATCTCCATCTGTAAAAGCGGACAGACAATCAGATAGTTAATGTATTTAGATGAAATGTGATTTAAATGTGCTTGTGTTTTTGACTTAATAATTATTAACCTCTGTTGCAGTGAACCTCTCCCTTGGACCAGCAGTGATCCACAATCTACCCCCTTTCATCTTCTCCAATGTCAATTCCTCCTTCATACTATACATGACAACGATAATGGTATTTTAAAGTCACAATGGTCACAATACTTGGCCGTGAAAAAGAACACTGCTCACCTCTGAATTTTCCATTGAGCCCTGAGTCTTTTCTGCAGCAATTTGTATCCGTTGCTTGTGGTAAACAGTTCCCTTTTCGAAGCATTAAAAATCACCGTGTTATTCTGATCTTTATCCATTATTGGGGTTTTCTTGTAGCTGTGAAGAAAAACAAATGTCATTTAATTTACAAATTTCTTTGAGATTATGTTAAATTTGAACAAAGGCAAATCAGAAATTGGAATAACTCACCATCTGTTTTTCCTCTGCTTTAAAACACACTTGAACACTGGCTGTCCACTAACGCTAAACACTCTGTTACGTTATTAAACTTAATCTAATAACTCATGTTTATAAAGGCTGCTAGCAGTTAGTTGTATGTACTGTGATGCTAATAAAGCTGTAAAGCACAAGCCTCAACTATTACTGTTTTCAAGATTTCTGTAGCTAGCCTTATGTGGCTAACGGGACTAACCTTACGTTTGCTAACGTGACGCATTTGTTTCTTTCCACGAATAACTTAGCCTACCTTCATCAGTGGTCAAACAGTATTATCATCCAGTCTTTCGTCGAGATATATTGTAAAAAAAAAAAAAAGGTGAATATTATATGTACTATTACAAGCTTAAGGTTTATGAATGTATCTTTTCCTGTTGCATGATGGGAGATCGTGTGGTAACTAGGGGCGCTAAACCTTAGCAACCGACAAACCAGCTTTGCTACAAGAGGCCGAGGATCTGACTCTGCCCAACATCAAAACAGAGACAAACTTACACTGACTGTATGCATGATTCTTTCTCATAGTATGTGTATGCATATATATTCATGAAGGCAACAAATTGTATGAGTCGTACAGCTAAATTTAGCAAACAAACATGTTTTATTTATTTATTTTATAGATTAGTATAAAACATGTTAGCGCATAAATAAATATGTTTTAAAATAAAATCACAATCAATAGAATTAATTTACTAAAAGTAACATTTACACACAGTTACAGTTTGCTGCTCGCATTTGCTGGTTTCACTCTAAGAACACCTTCTTGTGAATATGAGGCTGCCAGAACCCCATCTCTTCTCCACATTCTGCCATGGACCAGACCACGGCTGCCTCCTGCAGGACAAAACAAGATTTTATTAGGACATTGTATACTAGGGGTGGGATGAGACCATTTCCACAAGATGAGACAAGACATGAGATTTGGTCCATGAGAATAAGACAAGATGAAATTTCGATATAATTTATAATAAATAAATAGTGTGGTTCAGTTCACAATTTTGGTCCATGCTGATTTCCTTTATTTTATTTTGTTGTCAATCTAATGCTGTTTTTTGGAACTAAAGCATCTCATGAAACGTAACTCACCTACACAACCCCCTTTTTTTTTGTCAAATCCAAAACTTAACAGATGGGGGAAAAAAATCTCACAAAGTCATTATTCTCATGTGTGCAAAATTTTGTAGCAATTTTGTCTCGCAATATCTTGTGGCATGAGATTTGTGATCGTGTACTTTTTTTTGTTTTTTAGTGGTCACCTAGACTTCTTAGCTTTGTCAAATTTTGTTAAAATTTTTTTTAAACAACCATTTTTTAAATGCTAATGATACACAATAATGTCATGCAAGTAGTTGTTTAGTGAAGTCTGGTTGGGGGAAGAGTTTGAATAAGGGTCCTTACACCTTATAACCATTTGAAAAGGCACTCAGTACTTGTAATGTATGACTCTTGGCCTACTAGGTGCTAGTAAAACCAAACAAATTTAACAGTGTATAACTGTGAATGTAGATATCTCTCCCATCATATGTCCCCTCACTTTTTAATAAACTCAATTATTTGAGAGAGTAGCTCAGTGCAGCAACAAGTGAATAAAACAAATTCTAAACTGAGCAAAGAGTGATGGGTTTTTGTGAATAAATGTAAGTAAAATGATTCTGCAAGTAATTCTGGCTTCAAGTTATTCAGTGTATGACACTCACTGTCCTGTTTTTAAACAGGAAATTAAATAAAAACGTGAAAGCTGTTCTTGACTCAAATAAAATGATCAAAACTTTAATGTAACATTGTACCACACAGTAAGAAAGCAAAGAAAAATTACAAACCATGTATGAACAAACAGGACAAGAAGAACGAGGGAGAGAGGAGAGAGAAGAGACAGAGAGATATCTATGATAAAGAGCTGTAAAACAAATCCTTTAAACAAAATTAAATAAATGATTAAATAATAATAATAGTATAACCATATAATATAACAATATAGAACAATAATATAATAACAATATAATGTAACAATATCACAATATATAACAATAATATTATAACAACAATAATCATCATCATCAAGATGAAGCTGAAACAATAAAACTACTGTAAACTAGGGATGTAACAATTCAGTGTAGACTACATAAAGAAATAACAGTTGTTTTAGGTCTTAGTTCTTTGGATTAAATCTTGTCAAGGCATTTTAAAGAGGAAAAAGTAGCACAGAAACAGTTTTAGCTGTTTAACCTCCACAAAATATTGCAATAAATATCCTACCGTAAGATGTACATAGTGAAAACATCGCACCAAGAGATTTGGATATTGTTACATTCCTAATCGTGAGCCTCCCCACCATATCGTGAGCTTTCCCATGATATCGCAATAAATAAGGTACCGTGAGGCTCATACCGTGACGATATCGTATCGTGAGACTTTGATATCACCCCTACTGTAAACTGTTCCTCCAGTCTTCGAGGGACAGTCCTGAGGCTGGAGAGTACCACCGCCCCTTCACCTGGGTGTGTCCAGTTCTTTTGCTTTTGTCCTGGCCACACTGCTTGCAGGTGTAGTGGTACTGCTCTTTTGATAGCCTCTTCTTTGGTGGTTCCCCCCTTGACGCTAGCTCCTCATCCTCCTGGGCAGTTTTATTCAGCCTCCAGGCACGTTGCCTTGGCTGAGATGGAAGGCACGCTGTAGGAGGTTGCTGCAGTGGAGGAGCATCAGGACATGGAAGAGCTTGCTGCCATGGAGCATAAATAAATGGGGAGTGCAAATATGAGTGAGCAGGCAGAAATGGAGGAGGATGCTGAAACTGAGGAACTGGCCCAAATTGTGGAGGGAAAATGAGAGGTGGAAATGGTGGATTGATCCCAGATTGCTTGTTAGCTGCCAGAGTGCGCTGACGGGGGAAAGCTTCTCCCTCACAGTTTTCTGGCTCCTCAAAGGTCATAACATCATGTGCATGTTGCACAGGGGCAGCCAGAAGTGTGTTTGCTGCAGGGAGAGGCTGTTCAGGAAGTACAGTGTCTTGGAGCAGCATGTCCCTGTCCTTCCTCTTATCCCTCCTAAGCAGCCTACAAGACAAACATTCAATAGTTTATACATGCAAGTCTATACCCCCTAAGGTTATTACACATTTTCTAATAAGCATGCAGGTGGAGGTTTTTCTTGAGGTTGAATCTTTATGTAACAGTGATAACGTGGTATTTGATTCCACTTGTCATTACTCTTATTGAGCTAATGCAGTTTGGGTGAATAGCGCCCTCTTGTGATGACTGGTAGTGATAAGTGCCCCTGGCGCCAAGAGCATGTTGCCAGTTCACGAGAGATGTGCACGAGGTGGGTCAATGATTTGAGCTCTGTTGGTAAAAATTGTGTATTTCTGTTTAATTATTCATTCTATGATCACATCCTAATTGTCCATCGTATTTATGTCATTTGGAACATTTATGAGCTAATATTTTGTACAGTGTTTGAGTTATTACAGTAATGGAATTTTGCACGTCGTGACAGAAGATAACTTTTAGATGCTAAAGTGACTTGCTCTCCTTGTAGAGCTGCTCACCGTGTTGAGCTGAGATATCCTGACCAGTATGTATATTGTTTGATGCAGATTAAAACCACAAAAGACAGCACCGTATCCTGGCCATTTGTTCACAACACTATTCAGATAAACTATACGATAGTCAAAGACGAACACAAACGGGTTACTCCCAAAAACAAGCTGGACTTTTGCACGGCCATGTTCAGCGCGGTTACATTGATATACTGTCTTGACTGTATGGGAAAGGTAAATGAAATAACACATACCATGAAGAGACAGTAGTGTTGTTCAGGGGCACCAGAACCATGTTTGTCTGGTCCAAGACAACCCTGCTGTCCTCCAGCAGCTGTCTGATGTTGCCGTAGACACTGACAATAGACTGAGGGATGGGCAAGGTTTTCCCCTTTGTGTCCTTTGGCCTGTTGCGTGCTTGCTCAAACTCTTTGGCAAGCCTGAGGCAAACACACTCACTGACCCTGTTTACTTCAGGGTCCTGGGCTACTTGGCCATGAGTCATGTATAGTCTGTGGGAGAGAAAGAGGATATGATCTGGACTGTGAACAAGGATGTAAAGTCATGATGAACCACGTGACGATGTCAACAGGGATTGAAATAAAATAATATGAACTGTATTGAACCAAGATGATAGCAAATTTTGGTCAAACACCTTTCTGACGCCTGCTGTCCAGGAGCAGAGCCACTCAGCTTCCTGGGTGCTCCCTACGGTCCTGCTGATCCACGTGACTTTTTTTTTGAGCCTTCTGGGTGTATCTAAAAGGTGAAAGAGACATCCATATGCTTCGTTACTTCCATGGAATGTATGTGTAATTATGGTGTACATAATAATTACTATTTTGTACCTTGCCTTGACCATGGCATGGAGAGCTGCATACAGGCGCACTATGTCTGCCTCCTCCTTGGCTGACAAAGCAGTGATGGTCCGGTTCAAGCCAACTAGGTAGGCTACCAGGGCATCAACTGCCTCCCATCCCACAACCCCTCTCGAGTCACTTGGGCTGGTCTGAAAAGTTATGAGTGAGAAAAAAAAAACAAGCAAATTAATGGTCACTCTTGTTTCTGATTAAGTGAGCAATGCAGATTTTACATTCATTTGTCTTATTAAAGTTTAACCACATTTATGTCAGGTAAGTACTGTGTTTTTGAGTAGGCTAAGGTGTTACAGAATGTGTTATTGACCTCTGTGACAACGACTTCGGGATCAGTGTCACCCTCCACCGACTGCTCATAAGAATCAGTAGCCCCCTCCTCAGACATGTCTATAGTGACATCTGCCTCATCTGCCTCCTCCTCCTCTGGCACCTGTGATGAAATTTCAGGGACATGCAATGGCGCAAGCAGGTCCCCTCTGTTGGTCTGGTCCAATAAATATTCCACCGCTATGCGCTCATCTGTAACCAGTATAAACACAAGGTGAGAAAAGGACATACATACACACATCCATCTCCTACATGTATAGCACAATCTTTGCACCCAAGAAATCCAAAGTCTTACCAGTAGAGGTTTCCCGGGTGGGGTGAATTCTGTCACTAGATTACAACCATGGACACGCTGTCTTAAGCTGTTGAGGTGGGACATCAGGCGGACATCGAAGCTTCTAAGGGTCGAGGCCCCCTCCCCAGCTACTGCCTCCTTGGCCCGGCCCATGTTCCACCTTGAACACCTTGGAAGCACTCCAGGTGTTTCTGCTGCATCTCCCAGATGTGGCGCATGCTGTCATGGCTCACCAAACGCAGCCCTGTGGTGTCTGTGAGGTCCCACACTGATTCCAGCAGTCCAAATCATCCACTCCATGGGTCCTCCTCCTGCAGTGTCTCTTTAGTTCTCCTGGGTTGACAGTGGCCATAAGCTGTTCCTCAGTGGGAACATCTCCACTGTGGCTGCTCTTCCACTTCTCTCTCTTGGCCTCCTTCAGGCATTGCACATCGTCCTGGTCCCATTCAAAAACGCAGGATGACAGCTTGGCACAAAGGGTGCCATATAGAGGGTAGTGTTCTGTAGTGAGGCCACAGTTGAAGCGTCTCACAAAATGAAAACTGTCTGAGCGCACTGCAGACTTCCATGGGTGGAAGAGCTTGGTCACTGAAGACACACCTGTGAAAAATAACCATTTTTAATTACGTAAAAAAAGCACATTTAATACAAATTGTTCTAACAGTGTGTCTATGTGTGTGCATGTGTGTGCATGTGTGTGTCTATGCGTGTGTGTGCATGTGTGTTTCTGGGTGTGTGTGTCTGTTTGTGCGTGAGTGTTTGTGTGTGCGCATGTCTGTATCTATCTGTGCGTGTTCTGTTTGTGTGTGTGTGTGTTTCTGTGTGTGCGTGTGTGTTTCTGTGTGTGTGTTGTGTGTGCGTTTCTGTGTGTGTGTGCACGTGTGTCTGTCTGTGTGTGTGTTTCTGTCTGTGTGCGTGCGTGTCTGTGTTTCTGTGTGTGTCTGCTTGTGCGTTTGTGTTTCTGTGTGTGTGTGCGTGTGTCTGTTTGTGCGTTTGTGTTTCTGTGTGTGTGCGTGTCTGACTGTGCGTGTGTGTTTCTGTGTGTGTGTGTGGCTGTGTGTGCGAGTGTGTTTCTGTGTGTGTGTGTGGCTGTGTGTGCGTGTGTGTTTCTGTGTGTGTGTGCGTCTGTTGTTGCATGTGTGTTTCTGTGTGTGCGTCTGTGTATGTTTCTATGTGTGTGTGCATGTGTGTCTGTGTGCGCGTGTGTGTTTCTGTGTGTGTGTGCGTGTCTCTGTCTGTCTGTGCATGTGTTTCTGTGTGTTTGTGTGTGTGTCCCTCTGGTGGTCAAAGCTGATGGTACGTGTGTGTTTCTGTGTGTGCGTTTCTGTGTATGCGTGCATGTTTTTGTGTGCGTGTTTCTGTGTGTGCGTGTGTTTGTGCGTGTGTGTTTCTGTGTGTGTGTGTCTGTGTGTGCGTGTGTGTTTCTGTGTCCCTCTGGTGGTCAAAGCTGATGGTACGTGTGTGTGTGCGTGTGTGTGTGTGTGTGTGTATGTGTGTGTCCCTCTGGTGATCAAAACTGATGGTACGTGTGTGTGCGTGTGTCTGTTTCTGTGTGTGCGCGCGTGTGTGTTTCTGTGTGTACGTGTGTGTGTGTCTGTGTGTGCGTGTGTTTCTGTGTGTATGTGTGTGTCTGTGCGTGTGTGTTTCTGTCTGTGCGTGCGTGTTTCTGTGTGTGTGTCTGTGTTTCTGTGTGTGTGTGTTTCTGTCTGAGTGTGTGTTTCTGTGTGCGTGTGTTTCTGTGTGTGCGTGTGTTTCTGTGTGTGTCTGTCTGTGCGTGTGTGTTTCTGCGTGTGTGTGCGCGTGTGTGTGTGTGTGTGTGAGAGAGAGAGAGAGACCCACCTGTCTGGTTGCAGCATGTCACGCCCCTGCCTGTCCTGAGTCTTCTGTGTGTGGACGTGGGCGGAGTTTGCTGGGAGCACCTGCACACCATCTGCAATCAAGCCTGCTACAAAGGACCAGCTCTCCTGCCAGACTCTGCCAGATTGTTTCGTCTACTTGATGGTGATTTTCCTGTCAGCTCAGTTTTTGATTTTTCCCTCGCTTTCTGTATACTTACCTGCATTTTTGTACTCCCAGTTTCCGCCATTGAAGACTCCTGCATCCCGGCTACTGGCTCCTCATCTCTCCACCGCCTATCCTCCCTGGTTAATAAACCCTTGTTACTTTTGCACTTCATCCTTGTTTTGAGTCCTTTTTTAGGTCCACTCCTGTGGCATTTAACAGAACAATCTGGCCAAAACATGGACCCGACAGACTCAAACCTCCTGTCCGAGATGGATCCAAGGCCTCTGGTTCAAGCTGAAGCTAACCCTTTGTTCCAAGCTCTCTCCAATAAAGGTCAATTATTGGGGAAGAACGACAATCAACTCAAGGAAATTGTTGGAAACCAGCAAACTTTTGCAGCTCAGATGAACCAAATTGGGACCATGTTGGCTAACCTCACTACTGCGTTCACCCAGTTTGGTGCTGCTCCGCCACCATCCAATGTCCTCCCTGGTTCTTCTCCACCACCTCCAGCTCCACCTGCCTTGGCTCAACGTGAACCTCATATCCCTACTCCTGAGAGATACGATGGCAATCTTGGCTCCTGTGGTCGGTTTCTCCTCCAGTGCTCCCTGGTGTTCGATCAACAGCCCCTCACCTATGCTTCAGATAAGTCACGCATTGCTTTTGTTATAAGTTTGTTAACTGGCAAAGCATCTCAGTGGGCAACAGCAGCATGGGAGAGTAATTCAGACATTTTTCGATCCTTCTCAGCCTTTTCTAAGGAAATTAAAAAACGGTTTGATCATCCATTAAAAGGAAAAGAAGCTGCTAAGAGACTGTTAGGCACTTAACCAAGGACCCTCCTCAGTTGCTCAGTATGCAATAGATTTCCGTATCTTAGCCCATGAAAGTGGTTGGGATGACACTGCCCTACAGAGTGTTTTTTTAAGAGGACTCACAGATAATGTGAAAGATGAGCTTGCCGCCCGAGATGAGACAAACGGTCTCGAGGAGCTAATCTCTTTGTCCATAAGTCTTGATAACAGACTCAGAGAAAGAAGCAGGGAAAAAAGGCTCATGCCAACCTACATTTCGTGCTCACTATGCTCCCTCTCCTCCGGTTCATTCACCTGTGCCAATATATGTTCCTCCTATGCCTTCCAGCCACTCTGAGCCTTCAGACACAGAGGAGCCTATGCAACTGGGTCGGGCCTGACTAACTCCAGCCGAATGCTAACGCCGACAAAGGTCTGGCCTTTGCATTTACTGTGGACAAGAAGGACATTACATCAGTGCTTGCCCCTTGCGGCCAAAAGACCAGGCTCACCTTTGAGTAGAGGGGTCCTAGTGAGCCATGCTTCCTCTTAAACGCCATTTTCTCCAGACCGGCTTCTTCTCCAGACCTCCTTGCTGTGGTTATGTGAGTCACTCTCATTCCATAGTTTTGTTGATTCTGGGGTCGACGATGATTTTACTGACTCCAACCTTGTTCTCCAAGCTAATATTCCTACTGAACCATTAGTTTCCCAGAGAGGTTAATGCACTGAATGGAAGCCACCTAGCCAAAATCACTCACCGCACCATTCCTGTCACCCTTATTCTTTCTGGCAACCACAGAGAGGAGATACAGTTATTGGTCATTCCATCTCCTCAAGCTCCAGTGGTTTTGGGTCTACCTTGGTTAAAGCTGCACAACCCACAAATAGACTGGTCAGCCAATAAGATTAACAGCTGGAGTGTTCACTGTCACTCCCATTGCCTCAAGTCAGCCGTCACTGTGAGTAAAAGTTCAAATTCTGCTCTACCTAATCCTCCTGATTTGACCTATGTTCCTACCATATATCATGATTTGGCTCAAGTATTCTGTAAAGAAAAAGCTCTATCCCTTCCACCTCACCGTCCCTGAGACTGTGGTATAGACTTAAAATAAATATCCCCTACCACTCATTGACTCAGCGTTTTGAGCCCCTCTATCAAGCAATTTTTTTTTACCAAACTTGACCTCCGCAATGCTTATCATCCGGTCCGCATCCGCCAAGGAGATGAGTGGAAGACTGCATTTAATACTCCTATTGGACACTTTGAGTATCTAGTCATGCCGTTCACTTACAAATGCCCCTGCTGTCTTCCAAGCCCTGGTTAATGATGTGCTCCGTGACATGCTCAATAAATTTGTATTTGTTTACTTAGATGACATTTAGATTTTCTCCAGAGATCTTGAAGAACATTTGAAGCATGTGAGGCTGGTCCTGCAAAGACTCTTAGAAAACAAGTTATTTGTAAAAGCCGAAAAGTGTAAATTTCATGCAACCAACTTTATTGGTTTTGTCATTGAGCAGGGGCAACTCAAACCTGATCCGGCTAAAGTGAAAGCTGTTGCGGAGTGGCCCAGACCTGAGACACGTAAACAACTCCAGCGTTTTCTGGGATTTGCTAATTTCTATAGAAGATTCATCAAAGATTACAGTAGGAAAGCAGCTCCCCTTACCTGTTTGACCTCCACTCTAGTCCCATTCAAGTGGTCTAACGAGGCTGAAATGGCTTTTTCTACACTCAAACAACTTTTCGTAACTGCACCTGTTTTACCTCACCCAGATCCGTCCAAGCAGTTCATTGCTGAAGTCGACACCTCAGACTCCGGAGTGGGTGCTGTCCTATCCCAGCGTTGTCCTAGGGATCAGAAAATTCACCCTTGTGCCTACTTCTCTCGGCGATTAACACCAGAGGAAGCCAACTATGACATTGGCAACCGAGAACTTCTGGCAGTTGTTTTGGCCCTGCAAGAATGGAGTCACTGGCTGGAAGGAGCTGAGCATCCCTTTATCGTGTGGACTGACCACAAAAATCTGTACTACCTTCGTTCAGCTAAAAGGCTGAACTCCCGTCAGGCTCGATGGGCACTGTTCCCGGAATGTTAAGCCTGATGCACTGTCCCGTCAGTCCACTTCTGAGGAGGCTGAAACCCCACCTGCTCCTATCTTGCCTCCAGCATACGTTATTGACAAGCCCTCTACTTCAAGTTTCCTCCTTGGAACCGTTAACTGGGAGATTGAGAAGGTAGTCCCGGAGGCCCAACAAACCCAACCTGACCCAGGTACTGGTCTGCCTAATTTTGTTTGTCCCTGACTCTGTGCGCTCCCAAGCCCTCCAGTGGGGGCACTCCTCCAAGTTAACTTGTCATCCTGGTTTTAATTGCACTTTAGCTTTCCTCAGACAAAGATTCTGGTGACCCTCCATGTCTCGTGACACCAGAGCTTTTGTTTCTGCTTGTCCTGTGTGTGCTCGCAGCAAGTCCAGTCACCTGCCCGCTGCTGGTCTTCTCCATCCTCTGCCAATCCCCAGCTGGCCTTGGTAACCCCACCACTTGGAGTTCTTTTTTGCCTTGGGTTGAGTACGACCATAATGATGGTGATTTTCCTGTTGGCTCAGTTTTTGATTTTTTTTCCCTGCTTCCTGTATACTTACTTGCATTTTTGTACTCCTAGTTTCCGCCATTGAAGACTCCTGCATCCCGGCTGCTCGCTCCTCATCTCTTCACTGCCTATCCTCCCTGGTTAATAAACCCTTGTTACTTTTGCACTTTGTCCTTGTTTTGAGTCCTTTTTTTGGTCCACTCCTGTGGCATTTAACACAGCAGTCCCGATCGACAGAGATGACCGCAGGTTCAGAACCTGGCCAAACTCGTTGCCGATGTTGGTCATCCACGCAGCACTGCCCACTATTCCACCAGCCAGCTTCTTGTTGTAAACCAAATACAAGCACAAGAAGCAAATGGATTTCCTTTTGGTTTTTTTTGTAATTATACATGTTGTATTTTATAATTTTTTTACTATTGAAACCCTAACCTTCTTTGTCTTATCCATCTTAAGAATTCTACCATAAGTAGAAGTGATGACTCCCTTCATTTCATCAAGATGGCTGAAGATGTCATTAGAGTGGACTGTCTCAAACCATTGAGCAAGTGGAAGGGGACTGAAGGGTGGTGGTGGAAGATGAAGAGCTGCAGAAGGGACAAATGTAGCCATCTTCATATGGTGCTCACAGTCCGAGAGGTAACAGACGGTCTGATGTGCCCACTCCTCGCTCTCTCTATTACAGCCTGGAGGTAGGAGGTGTTAACGCTGGTCCTCGGCTTCAGGAAAGCCATGCATTTTAAGTTCAGAGCCAGTTGTGTGGTGAGGACAACGGGAAACATGCTCCTGTGAGCAACATCCAGCTGGGACAGTATATCCTGCTCTGTGGGCAAACTGGCAGAGAGCACTTGCTACAACGTGGATAGTCCCCGCCCACTAGGTAGCAGCAGCTATCCATGTCAATCACCTCCCTGACCTTTCTGTAGATCCCAGAGCTGTTCATTTTCTAGGAACACTTTGGGCATTTTTAAGGGTATCCCCCACATCCTCACTGGTGCCCAAAAGAATAGCCTTTAACGATAGTACGGCCCAGGCTAAGAAGGAGATGGTTTGGGCTCCAGTGGGGGGGGTGAAACCAGCAGGGTTGGTTTTTTTTGTTTTAACTGGCCTGTACGCTCATATAGGCACTTTGCAATCCACACCTGATCAGCTTCTTGGATTGTTCTCCAAAATTGCTCAGAAAGAAAACTTTTGTGAGGTGGAATTTCAGTGTGGTGTGGTGGAGCTACTTGAATGAGTGAGCAGAGATTGAGCTAGGTTTAGTGGCAGTACTGTTACCTTTTGTGGTCATGGCATAATGAAGGCTGTATAGTGAAAGCATTCCCTCTCCTGTCACTGATGCTTCTGCCTCTGTGTCTCTTCTCCCTGCCTCTGTGCTGACTCGAACTCCCTCTGCCTCCATTTCTCCGCTCCTTGTCTCTGTGTCTCCTCTCCTTGTGTCCCCGTTTCCTCTCCCTGCCTCCATGTCGACTTGGACTCGCCCTGCCTCCGTCTCAACTCCTCCTGCCTCACTGGACCCAGCACCTGATTACAGATCTGCTGGCTGGAGGGAGTACAAAAAGAGGGAATTAAAGCTTTCTTTAATTGCATCTTTTTGTAATTTAGTAATCAATTAGTAAATAATTTCACCTACCTTGTGGAACCCACAGGTACACTGAAGGCTTCTCCCAAACAGATCCTTAGCATGGCTCTGCAGGAGCAAGCATCAATCCTCACTAAGGCCTTTGTTCATTTCTTGGCCTCTGGCCAGTTGAAAAGTGGATTTTGCCCTGGGCATACTTGAAGCAGATGTCCCTCCAACCTGTGCACATGGCCTCCCACTTGTCCCGACCGGGATGGAAAACGGAGAATTTCTTGTCCAAATCATTGTTAAATGCGCATTTGCCCTTCGGCATGTTGCAGACTGACCGACTGTTTGTGCCTGCTCGCTCCTTCTGAGTCACAGAGCTGTGAGAGCCGCTCAATTTAATGGCCCAGTGAAAGGTAATGAAAACCCGGACATTTCCAACAGTTTAAAAGAAAAAAAAAAAAAAAAGTCGAGCCCCCAGGACAGGACACAAAAAATTGACATGTCCGAGGAAAAACGGAAGTTTGGTCATCCTAATTTATATCATTTCTCATACAAAGAAAGCGTAGCAAAGTTACAGTGCTTTGGAGGGTCATGGTTGTTGCCCTCTGTACAAAGACAAAGCAATCACAGCCCTCGCGGTAAATAATAATAAACCAATGTCGCCACACGTCAATTAATTATCATAAATTAGCCATGTGTGCATTGTGTAGCGTAGCGGTGTGAATAGACCATTTAAAGTAGCTATGTGCGCATTCTGTAGATTATGCTATGCTAATCTCATGTAGCATCATTAACTCCACAGCCCCCTACCTTGGGACCTTGCACCCTATGTAAGTTCGTACATCTGTATTCAAGGACTTGAAGAAAACAGATAAACGAACAATGAAACTTGGCACGATTATTTCACGTGTTTTCCCGCGAAATCGGCGGACTTTATTCGGCAAATAAACAAATAAATAAATACTTGGGTCTTCTGATTCTGTCATATCACCGTACAGTGGCAGTATGTACCGTCAGAAGCTAAATTAGCAATAATATAGCTTACATATGGTATTATGAGTACTAAGCAAATTTCCACACTTACCCTTTCCCCTAACTTTTGGAAAATGTGTAAAATGGCTGCTACTGTAAACTTTCTGTACCACGACAAGCCCGCCCCAATTTATTTTCTCGCCAGGCGATAAACCCTAAACCCTAATCCCTAACCTCACAGGGTGTTATATCTGTTGGGCGCTGGCCTCCACAGACTGGTAGAAGATTTCCAGTAACTTGCTGCACATGTTGAAAGACCTTTCTCAGGAAGAGTCTACTCATGCTCTTCTTATACAGAGCATTACTGTGTCCAAGGTTCTTGTAGCAGTCATTATTTCCACCTCATGGCCCTGGATGTTGATTGGCTCCATTGGTGTCCTCTTTCTCCTAAAGTCAGTCATCACTTCCTTGGTCTTGTCGAAGTTCAGGAGCAGATGGTTTGCCTGGAACCATTCAAAATTTTGCAGTGTCCTTTTCTCCAGCTTTTGTCCATCTCTGACACACCCAACCACCACAGAGTCATCAGAGAACTTCTGCTGTAACAGAAATCAGAGGTGTACAGAGTCAGTGGAAACAGAGACAGGACTGTACCCTGGGAGCTCCTACATTACTCAATCTAGCAATCGATCAGTCAACAACGGGCTATTCATTTCGCAGATCTCTGGTTGTACATAAACCATAAATAAAATCATGTAAATACAATACAGGAGACCCGCAAACCTCAATACATCACTGGACACATTTGCAAATTTACTTTCCATTTAGAAGTTTACTGGCAGAAGGAATAAAACATTTAATGTTGCGGTTGGTGTTTTGTTGTGCAGTGACATATCGCCTCCCAGAGGGCATTTGCGCAAACTGCGAGCGCAGCACATGGTTAAGCTGACTCAGCACTGCCCACAGTATCAGACAGAGTGCTTCCAGTCGCATGTACTGAGACACTGAAGAAATCTAAAAACAATATCCTCACATAGCTCTTAACACTGTCCATGTAAGAGTGTGGGCCGGTGAAAGAGATAAATGAGCCTCGTCCACACTAACAAGGGACTGATAGGCAAATTGTAGAGTCTAGGGAGAGGACCACCAGGGGGCTGAGCCAGAACAAGAGTAAAACTCTTGGAACTCGAACGATGGTGATGTATTTATGGATGTGTAGAGGCCTCTGCTGGAGGATTTACCCGATCATCTCAGTGACATTATACAGAGGTACAGGCTCAGTGCATTGGGCTTTAGGTGGTCCTGTTTGACCAGTGTGTGCTGCTTAACTAGGTGATGTTAGTGATGTTAATGAGGAAAAATGGTTTGAGCTCAAATCGCTTGGTTTTGTTTTGGAGTGTTGTACTAAAGTGTCAAAAATCCTACTCAAATGTAGTTTGTGTAATCCTTCAGTTGTCCAGGTAGGATCCATAGCAAATAAGAAATTCAGTTCCATCAGTGTGGCTAACCAATAAAAACAAAGATAATAGTTTTGAAAAATAGTATAGGCTTTATTTTATAATGCTGATATTTACAGGTGGTCTGCTCTTGTGGTACATGTGAAAATAACATTCTGAATACACCTCTGGAAAAACCAAAATGCAAACATGACATGAATGAAAAAAATGTTTCAAATAAAGTTTTCAGCATCCAGTGATATGCTGCCCCCACAGTGTGCCCAAACCAATGATTTAAAAAGAAAATTATTTTACAAAATCACAGGAATCACATTTTGATATTTACACACAGGAAATTGAAATGTTTAAAGGGTAAATATTAATCAACATTTATTAATGACTGGATAAGGGAATAATGGTCAACTTCAGTGGTCCTGTGTCAGATCCAGATTTGAAGTCTGATTTAATTCAGGTTTAGTCTGATTTGAAAAGAACTTTGACATTGGTTTAAAGGTGCTATATTACGTGACTCTTGTTACATTTAAGCCATGTTAGAATGTCGTTACTTCCTCAAAAACCCAGAGTTGCTGTTTCATTCACACATTTGACTAACATTCTGTCTACATCTCCAAAGCTCAAACTGCTCTGTTCTACCTTGTGATGTCATGAACTGCTAATTTTCAAGTTAACAGCAACATTTTATCTTTAGTTCAGTAGAGAGGCAATTTCAGGGCTGAAATTATCCAAATAATTCTAGAGATGTTGTACAGTGAAGCAGTGTTTTGTAGTTGTTTGAAGAACTCCTAAAATATGCCGAAATGTGCAGGGATGTGAATAAAACAAAATTAACGCTATTTTCTGATCTGTGTACTGTTTGATTATTCCCAGCATAAAACACAGCTGAATGTCTCTGCAATAGTGATAATGTGAACTAAAATGTCAAAGACTTTTCACATTGTTTTAAAACTATCAACAGTATTGCTGGTCTTCAGATGACATCACAACATCCTATAGACCAAGCCTATTAAATACAGGTGGGAATAGCTCAAATGAATAGAGTTAAAAGTGGGTTTTTGATGTAATGGGTTCTATTTGAGATGTTTGGAAACATGTGACTTCCTTTGGGCTCTGTTGGTGATAGCAGAAAACTGAGAAAATGGCTCAGTTTTCTTAATTTAAATGTCTCTTTTTTTATTCCTTTTTATAAATTGCATATTAATTTGTGTATTATAATTTGTCTAACTATATATATATATATATATATACATATATACATACATATACATACACACACACACACATATATATGTGTGTGTATGTATATGTGTATATATATATAGAGTCATTGTAGCATTCTGTTATGTTCTGCAGATCAGATGTCTGTAAGTGACTTCAAAGGCACGAATTGTCTACATTCAGACTGCAGCCTGAAGTGACCCAAATCTGATTTTTTTTCCTCCCGTGTGAACTGTATCTGAACTTTTAATGACAATCTAAATGACAGATATCCGATCTTTTGACATGCGACTTCAGTCTCAACGGCCAGGTCACATTCATCCCACCTACATGTCAGGCTCGGAGTCTAGTCAATGGAGGGAAAGCGAGGTTATTGAGTTCATTCATATTTGGGGAGGATCGCTGTATTCAGGTCAAATTGCAGGAGTCTTATCGGAACTGAGCGGTTTTTCAAATTATTGCCAAAGAAATGTCCGAGCGCGGCTACAGGCGTCCTGGCTCCAATGTCAACAAAAAATAAAGAGCCTGCAAGCCAAATACAAGGAGGCTAAAGACTCAAACAAAGCAGCCATGTTTAGGCGACTTCCATAAACACTGAGCACACTGCATGTGACATTGTGGTGTCCTCCAAAGCGCATGTGGGACACTTTTGGGGAGTTTAAAGTTCAAACAAGTCACAAACAAGTCGCATTTAACTGAAAATGTGAATGACCTCACAAAAAATAAATAATCGAATTTCACAAAAAATCCTGCCCCCATGGAAAACTGGCAGGTTGTGAAGACGCTGCTGCTGAATCCATGGTTTTATCACATGCCCAGTGTTGGGAACTACAACGGAAGTCATCACCCGCATGTTTCCAAACGTTTTCCTGTAAGTGTGAAAAGCACCTATAGAGCAGAGTCCATGAATATAATCACAGGTTCAACATTTTGTGAATATGACATCACATTTTACATTTTAGAATCTGAAAACCAACTATTTCAGACAATTTAGAGCAGTTGGATTAAGATTTCACTATTAATCAATATTACAATTTTGGCAAAGTACCGCAGGATAAACAGAAACTGGATTTTCATCTGGTTGGTCAGGTTGTGCTGAGGTTAAACCAGCTCCTATGGACTTTAGACATGTCAAGACAACTTCCCTGCTTTAGATTTGATTTAGTTGTAAACTGAAAGCTAGACAATTAAAATGGATTATTAGTTTTTGCAGTTAAAGATGAACTATGTAACTTTTCAGGTTCCTAGAGATGTTATTGCATTGCCTGGAATGTTCCACAGTATGGCATAGAATGTTGAATTTAAGGATATGTTTGTAACTATGAAAATCAAATAAATGTGTTTGTGTACCAACATTCCAGGCAAAGCATTCAACTATCTCCGTGGAAAAGTATGCACATATTACATCTTTAATCGGGACTGTATATTACTGGTTTTTCGTTAGTAAGGATAATTATGGACAACCATTGAAACCTTGAATACTTGTTAAGATTCTGGTATTTTGAAGATAGTAAGTTACATTAAATAAAATTGTCTTATAAAATAAAAATGGTATATTACCAGTTGAAAATCACTAAAACAGGTTAAATAAATGTAAAAAAAAAAAAAAAAAAAAAAAAAAAAAGAACTAAATAATTTCAAATACTGATTATAAATAGATTCATTCTAGTCTCGTGAGTTAAAAACATTACTGGACATAAAATGCAGTCCCCATGGCTAAACAGAATCCAGGTGACTGTTCATAAATAATAAAAATAAGAAAAACTTACAAATATTATCTTTTACATTGATATACAAACAACATAATAAAAGTTCTTAAATACAAGCCGAGATGCAAGACCGGTGCCCCCAAAACATTCAATACATTAAGAATTTCAGGTAAGTATTTAAAGAGGAGGTATTACACTTCTATGGGGTATTAACTGCTAACACATAACACATTTAAACCACAATGTTGCCTTTTATCGTTTTGAAACTACTGCACATCACATAAGGTTTGTGAAGATTTAGTGTGTGGTTTTAATCCTGCTTTGTAGATTTATGGAGAATTATTGTGTGGGAATGTGGGAGACGTAGGCTTCAGGCTTCTTTTTGATGCGAGAACAAAGTTATAACATGGTAGAAAGCCAAAAAAAAAAATGAATTTGGCATAATACCCCCTCTTTAAGATATGCCACAACAATCTAGAGTTACAGAAGTGATAAAAGGCAGTGTAAAAGTATGCAATCATATGTCTTTAAATGAGCCAATGGAAACAAATCTTATTAATGCACAGTAAACGGGCACAAAAATTACAATGTTGTGGGAAATACGTCAAATGTAACAGATTTAGACAAAGATGCACATGGTGAATCATGGAAATTAACGAGAGAAACTTAAATTTTAGTGCATGGTCCCCAGTTAGAATGTTTCAAATAAATGTTCTTTGAATGTAAGGTATATCAATGGTAGGGTTGGGTGGTATCCAAATTCTGATACTGTGATGCCGTCTCAGGATTTTACCGGGGTATGCAGTATTACCGTATTACCAAAACGTCAGCGTTTATGTGCGTAACCTCGCAAAACCACAGCCACGCGTCAAACAAAGAGAGCGGCTCCACCGGCAGCTGCAGCAGGACATACATGCGCAGCACTGACTGTGTTTGTCAATGCGAAAAACGATCAAACTTGACTGGGCGCGTTTAGTCGCTTGTACCAGGTCCACAGTGAAACTAACAGCTGAACACACTTGTATTTACCTTCTGTACAAACTCACCACAGCAAACGCCAGGATTTCAAAAGTACATTTTAAAGCACTTATTAACAGTCTTTCTGGAACTGGGCTCTTTCATACGACACAGATCTGCCCCAGGTGTACGTTGTACTGATGGTAAACGCACAAATACAACCAAAGATTCATGCTCTCTCTATATTTTGATGGGGACACGCACCTGCGCTTGCGTGGAGCGTCAAAAATTGGATGGATCCTATGTTCTGGAATCTACGAGCGCAGGACGCGCTGCTTCAGGCGCGCACCGCCCTCATTCACGTTCCATGCATTCTAAAAGTTACGCGTCCAAAATTTGCAGTTTTTACGCTCATGTAGGGCGAAATACACATGCGGTGGAGCCAGGCCCATAATCTCTGAAAAGTTAAAACACGAACCGTTTCCAACGTGACATGCACAGCCGCGATTCACAGTCAGCCGCCAAATCCTCTCGCAGAAAAAACATATATTCCACTGAAAAAACATATTCCACTGAGTCGTGTCTTTTAGTCCGACAAAAGTTGAACCGCATCAGCAGCACAAGAAGCAAGCTGTTTTTATCAGCACGTACAGTTCATGCAAATTAGCCATGCGGTTTTAAGTTTCGTTTCTGTAAAACGTAAAGAAATGTGCACCTGAAGCCAAAATGCTGCCAAATTGCTGAAGTACTAGTATTTTTTGGGGGACAAACTCGCTTGCAGCCAGACTTGCATCTTGTCTTGGTCTCCCTTATGAGCATCACGTGACAGCGGAACGAAACTAATCGAACGTCGTCTCCCCAAGAAACATTATAGATAATATTAGATTTAAATCGTGATTGCATTAAACTGAAAAACAACCACACATTAATTTGTGCTGAGCAAACAAATTTAGATATCAGTAAATTATAATATTATATTAGGTCCTTATGTGCTGCAGATTTTTTTTTTTATGACGGTAATGAAACTGATACTATTGTTACTTTTTGATACTGCAGTATACCATAATACCGTATTACCGCCCAACCCTAATCAGTGGTTCTCAAAGTGGCCCAAGATCATGGTTAGAGAGAAGTCTTAGACCTGATTAAGACCTGGTTTAATCCTTTGCTCTGGTTCAGATAGAGCTTGATGCTTTAGTCCAGCTCTTTTGTGCATGTCTAGTCGTGGTCTAAGTCTGGTCCGAGTCAGTAACCTGGTTCAGACCTGGTTCAGACCTGGTTCAGACCCGCGATTTATTCCAGGGTGAAAAGATGAGTTCTGATCTCTAGCCTTGCTTTAGTCAAAGTTTTTAAGTCACAGATTCAATCCATGTGCATTTCCACCATGGCCAAGATCTGGCTTAGTCTAAATTCAGTTATAATATACTTGTGGAGCCAGTTTTCCTTTCTAATTGTAAAATCAGGAGCATTTGAGTAGCATTAGAGAATCACTGATAAAACAACACTTCTCTGCATTAATAGAAAAAAAAAAGAAGATTTTCCACAACATTCTAATCTATGTCATTGCCAGAATTACCTTCACGGGCCATTACACATATTCAAATCTAAACACAGACGCCGTTTTGGACCACCAGGCTTCAATACAATTCATGTGATTTAGTTAAATGTGAAATTGTAGAAATAAATTGAATTCACAATGTACATTTCATGTCCTGAAGTGTGCAGTGGCTGTGGAAACGCACTCACTGGTCAGTTTATTAGGTACACCTGCTCTAACGATTATCAACTAAAATTGTACTGTAATCCTGAGTTTAAATCAAGAAAGTTGGGGTCCCGGTTCAGTCTTAGTTTAGCCCTGGTTTAGTTCTGGTCTAGTCCATGTGTGGGCCTGGTTTAGTCCCGGGGTAGTCCTGGTTCAACCTCGGTTTAAGTCCTGGTCCTGGTCCTGTCCTTGTTAGAACTTGAATTAGTCCATATAAAATTGTAACTAAACTGGGTTTTACAACTAAACAACAAAATCCTTTCCTAGACCAAGAACTAAACTAGGAGTAAACCTGAACTAAACCAAGTCTACATCAGGACTAAACTAGGCTTAGGACAAGTGTACCTAATAAAGTGTTAAAATACAATATCTTCTGTCTTTATGGTACAAAATACTGATCCTTGGTATATACATTGTTTGAGTGCATCTCAATAAGCTCCAATATTGTGGAAATGTTAAACTGTTGTGTGTCAGATGCCCTCCCCTCGTCTTAGATCCCAGTATGTTATATTCCTGTAATGTTTACCTGAGATAGGCCAGGTCAAAGCAGATTAGCAGATTTTTATGTGTGGTTGAGCAAACAGTGTGAGATAAGACTTTTTTTTTTTTTTTAATCAGATGCTCTCCCTGAAGCAACACTCATTTATCTTGATTTAGCACTGGCACAGAGTGTAGATAACTTTGTGACTGTTCAACTTTTCCGCAATATTATTCTCAGATGCACGTTGTTTTTACCTGATACTGAAATGTAATGTTACAAAAGTTGGGGATTACACGTAAACAATAATGAGGTAAAAACACCAAATAGAATGATTTAAAGGTCCTATTTTAAACATTATACAGGCTTTTTTTTTTACACTTTGGCATTTGGCAAGTTTTCTAAGGAAAAACAGGTCACAGTAACTCAACTATGTGTGCAAAACACCATGAGAGGGCGCAGAGACTATCCCTTTTTACTACCTAATGATATCACAAGGTGGGAGTAAATATACAAGCTTAATCAAGTTGAACAAAATAGTGTATGGATTGAATTTGAAAACAATTTGTCTTGCCCCAGTACAGATACTTTGACCTTAAGAGCTGCTTATACAATATAAGTGTGCTGCTGTGTGTTCTATTGCCTGATAATCGGGATAAAGTGTGTGTTAGCATGCTAGTTGTTTTACTGTGACAGCCAAACTCCACTCTGGCTTGGGAAAGTCATAAACTCATCGTGGTGCATAATAAGGTAAGTGAGGAATAAGTTTGGACCACTGCAAACTGTTTAAAATGAACTAGTTCTGGTTTTCATGTTTTTTAAGACAGTAAAAATCAAGTGCAGCGCCATTGGGCATAAAATAGGACCTTTAAAATTAATGGGCGGTAACAGAAAGAGCCATTAAATTGCTATAATGTTCTGGAGGGTAGAACTGATTTGATTGGTTCCCTGATTGCCTAAAATGGAAGTGACAGGCACTTGGATGAGATGGAGGAGTGAGAAAGCTTCATGATCGTCCCAAAAGAGTGCCGTTTTATATTACAAAGAGGAGGAGAGGAGGAGGAAAGTCAGGATTCCATCTCGTCTCCATCGAAGTGTGGAGGCTCGAAGCTCACTACCTCCTCATATGTTAATCCTAGAAAATAAAACAATATATTAGGCCTGTAACGATAATCAATAAATCGATTAGTCGTACGATAACTTTTAACGAACTCGATAATTTTTCCAGCCACGATAAATTCTAGTTGCATGCTTGTTTGTTTTCCTCGCTCTCTCTCACTCTTTCTCGCTCTCAAAGAGACTGAATGTTAGAAGGCGTCTATCTATCGCTCTCTGACTCCTCTCGTTTAACAAGCGTAATGACGCTTGAACCAACGTGCGCTGTGTTTATCAACACAGTGGAAGCGGGCGCAGTCTGCGCGCTTTCTGCAAATCCAAATTCTGCAAATGCAGAAAGCCGCTGTCTGTGCGGTGCGCTAGCAACACAAGCTAGCGCCGCTGTCAGAGTGACAAAACTGTTCATCTCCGTTCATCGCCAAAACAAGTCACGATGCCGAATCAACACTGGTGAGCGGGACACGTCTCAACAGCCGCGTGCGTCAAATGCAGCAAGCGCGCAAACGAGAAGAAATGTCCCAAACCCCAACAGGCGACATAAACCCAAACCCGAGCGACACAACAAGTCTGGCGCCCGGGAGAACCCGAAATCCCGAAACCGAACCGACACGACACCAGACAGGACAGAGGCTCCCTCATAGCGAAACAGCATCTTGTGTCGCGGGTTAATATGAACACTTCAAGACCAAAATGACGAGGCTCACAGCAGCAGCCACAGAGAGACGATATATAATATTCCAATGTAAGTCAGTGACTAAAATCACTTTTAAGGACAATTTTGTTACAGAGACTTAATAATCCATTTTATTTATTGTTTTGGTTGTGTTTGGTTCAGCAATGGTTTATTCAAGTGCATTTTTGTTAACAAGTCCTTGCTGTGAGCCAGAGTACATTAGGCTAGTCCTGTGTTGAGTCTGTTTTATTTAGGCCTATTGTTTTTGGTTGTCTTACAGTTACTGTGTTAAAAGTTATTTAGAAAGTAAGGTTTATTAATCATTGAGAGGATGTATTTGCATTTTTATTCCATGGTCATTATATTAGTTGAAATTGGTCTCAAAATGTCAATATTATCATTTATCGCAATAAATTCTTCATCAATTAATCGTCCAGCAAAATTTGTTATCGTTACAGGCCTAACCACCAGGATTTATTTTAGTAAAAAACAAAAAGGTAATTTGTGTAGTTCAAAAAAGTACACACTGCACATTGCAGATGTATTCTTTTCAATGTTTTACAAGTTTGAAATTTGCTGTAAGATAAAATCATAATGCAAAGGTTCCTCAAATATTTTGGATTCCAACTGAGCAATCTGATTTCTATCAATCCTAGTTTTCTAAATTAGATTAAATTAAATAAAATTGGATAAAATTAGATAAAGATAGATACAGTTAGATAAAAATAGATAAAGGTGATATGATTAGACACCAGTCCAAGCAAACGAGATGACTGATAAGAAGAGCAAATTTTTCTGGACTGAAATCATCTCTAGGTGCAGTCTGCTGCCTGTCATACTGAACAATTTCCATAGACTTAAACACATATACACATAACACATGTATATATAACATATATAGTATATATAATATCTCAAGGGATCTCACTCTTCCACTCCTCGATTTCAAGCTCGCGGCTCTCAAAGCTCTGGTCGTACGGCTCAGCTTCAGGTTCATCGTCCGGGTCGTGATACTGAACGAAGTACGGGTGAGCCAGCGCCTCAGACGCGGTGATTCTTTTGTCTGTGTCCAGGACCAGCATCTTCTCTAGAAGGTCCACCGCTGCAAAAGAGCCAGGAAGAGACAGGAGAGGGAGATGAGGGGGAGAGGAGAGGGAGAGGAAAGAGAGAGGAAAGAGAGAGGAGAGGAGAAGAGAGAGGAGAGGGAGAGGAGAGAGACGAGAGTGAGATAAGAGGGAGAGGAGAGAGAGTGATGGAAGGGAGGGAGGAAAAAGAGAGGAAGATGGATAGAAAAAGAGAAAAGGAGAGGGGGATTGGAAGGGGAGGAGGAGGGAGAAAAAGGGATGAATGCAAGTTTTTTATAAAGGGGGAAAAAAAAAGAGCTCCCACAGGAAACCCACAGACACAAGGCAGAGACTGTGACCAGCTGCACTGAACCGCCACTGTAATTCAAGTATTGTACATGTAACACTGTCAGTCACCACTAGATGGAGTTGTACACGCATGACCTACCCAGAGGGTTTGCTCCAATGAAGACGTCAGCGAAGTTCCTCTTGGGCATGTAGGGAAGTGAGTTTATGTAGTTTCTTGCCTGCACAATGACAAAACAAGACATTTTAAAAAGTGAAATATGTAATCTGACTTTTTGAAGCATCTGCCACATGCTTGTATCCATGGAGACGTTATTACTTTGCACAGTATTTATTCAATTACATTTTTGTTGTTCCCAAATACATAAAAAAAAGCATAAATTTTTTCATTGTAAAACATTCTAGGCAAATCATGATCATCTCCATGGAGACACGCAGACCATTACATATACAAACATACATTGAAATCCAGCACACCTCCAGATGATTTCAGTTCCTAACAATAGATGACCTCACTTTTTAAGCTCCCTCCAATGTTGTACTTTACCTTTGTCAAGTCTAGATTATGCCCCAGAAAGTACTTGCTGAACTATTTGGCCTATTTGAATAAGTATTTGCTGGTATAAGTATTTTGTTTCTATTTATTTATGATTATTTTTTTTAGTTTGAAACCAAATTGAAATGTCCTGAAATTTGGACTGTATCAATCAATACTTTGCAGATCATGTCATCAACTTTCCCTGGGGGTGTCAAGTTAACTGGGGGCACTGTTCTGTGTAAAGCTCTGTCACTCAAATTAGACTTAAATCTAACCATAAAGAACAGATTTAGCTGGGATTTGTGCTGTTAAACAAGTCTCTCTCGAATACCATTACAGTCACAAGTATTAGTCAACACTCGAACTGATCACAGGCTCCTGAAAATGTGTTCTTTAAATTGAGTATTTTTTTAAGATTAACAACCCCAGAGTAATGTCACTGCAAAGTATCAATTAATTGACTAATTGTGACTAGATGATTATAAAAAAATATTTTGATCATGTGTATCATGATCTGGACTATACAGACTCAACACATACAAAAAGACCTTTTACATCAAAATGAGCCCTCAAAACAAGATTAGTAAACTGAATTCAAGCCATTTAAACTCAAGTAGGTATTAGGTTTTGTAATAGTGAAGAATTGTGAGATTTTGACCTGCCCCATGCAAAAATGATGCAAGTTATGGAGCCCTGGATTAGTAACAAAGATTGGAGCCCTGGCAAAGCACATGTACAGGCTTGTGACAGGCACACAGAGCTATGCACAAAAAATGCATTCATATAAGAAAGGGGATGTTTATTTCAGCTATTTGAAATGTAAAGTTGTCATTTACTGCTTGATCTGAGCCTCACCTCTGCTCCATCTGACCCTCTCCTCCGCATCCTCTGCTCCTGCCCTCTTCTAACCCCTTAACTCGATTCTTAATACAGTCTGTTGCACCTATAATCTTGGATGAGTAATCCGTTGACACCTTTGGGGGGGCATGCGTCTCACCTCGTGGCTGGGCATCCTGCTTATGAGAGAGGCTGGAGGCGTTCCAGTCAATCGCATGATCTGCTGCAGCTGGTTTATGTCTAAAGTGCACGAGTCAAGGGGCGTTCAGTAAACATGGGATTTTCAAATGAGATGGAGGGGGACGAATAGAACGGTAAAAACATGTAGGTAATGAGGGAGAGATGGGTGAAAACTGAAATAATGATAGAGAGCTCCAAATAAGAATGTAACCAGCAGGGGGCAGTAATGGGAAATTACAAACAACATAATCACAGAAAAAGTTAAAATGTTCTATAGTCTTTAAGTCTGGTTTAATTAAGCTAAATAAATTATAACATTGTAATGAACCAGAGCTTTTCCTAATCAAAAACATACATTGAGTTTTTCTGTGTTTCATTTCTGAACATGACACATTTACTGCACTATGAAACTCTTAAGATGGGAAGGTACCACCTGCTCATATATGGGACTGCTTTGTCTGTAATGTTCCACAATATGGCATTAGACATATATATTGCATTTATTCAACTGTTAATACTAAAAAGTAAAAAACAAAACAAAACAAACAATACAAAAGAATGTTACTATGGAACATTTCAGGCAAAAGAGACAAGGAGATGGCAGGATCTTCACCAAAAGGTTACATAGTGCAGCTTTACTGTTTCTGCCATAGGAAGAAAGTCTTTCTGCTTTCTGTTGGTTAAATGAAAATTTGCATATTAGCACTACTTTGACACCAAGATTTCAAAAACAAGCTAAGATTAACATGAAGCAAACACAGCCATTTGCATCCATTAGGCAGCCACATTCATTTAGTTCATGTCTAGAGTTCTGTGTAAGTACTGAAGCATTTCGATTGGCTGGAGGTAGGACATGTTGAAGCATTTTGACTGGTCAGTAGCACAGTTAAGGCGTTCTGATTAGTCAGTAGCACAGTTAAGGCATTGTCCAGAGCTACAAAGCGTTTTGATTGGCTGAGCAGAGGTTTGAAGCATACAGACTGGCTGAGCACAGGCAGTATTTAAACTCACAGGTTCTGAGGAGATTTTCATGGAGAGCTCAGGCTCCGGAGTCCCAACCAGCGTCATAATACGCTTTAACTGATCAATGTCTACCGTTCCACATAAAGGAAAACACACCAGAGAAAAGGCAGTGCTCCTGACATTTAAACCAACAACTACTGGTACTGCAACAACTATTAACTGTACGAAGCAATCACCCCCCCAAAAAAAAAGAAAAAAGATGCACCATGTGACTTCTTGATTGTCTCCATAGAGATGCATCACTTAGCCTAGAATGCCCCACAGTATAGCATTAAACTTCATATCTGCGGAGAGGCAATCCCACTTACAGTAAGAATGCATGTTTCTCAAGATTTTTTTTAACCAATAAAAACTTGAATTTAATAAATGCAAGACAGCTGCTATAGTGCTGCCTAGAATGTTCCACAGTGGGGCATTAAACATGTCAGTGTAGATAGTAGGCTCTCCATCAAAAAAGTGACATAGAGCACACACCATTACCCTTTGCAGATTGTTAAAGGTGCACTGAATGATTTAGCTGTACTTTGACACTATATTATACACAAGAAAACATTTGTTAAGTTCCACATCAGATGCAAGTTGAGTGAAAGCACTGTTCCAAAAGTAGGGTACAAACTGGCTGTGCAAACTATTAGTAAAATAACTATGGATTTGAAAGGTGCAATTGCTTTGCTTTCCGTATGCATGCTCTATAACAAAGTGCTAATTTTGCTAACACCACATTCATTTCTCTTATGATAATGCCAGTCTGTGGCAGCACACTGCTCTGTGAGCTTTAGTTAGTTCCTCCAGGTGCTGCATTATAAACGTGGTGGGAGACTAAAAACACCCACAGATACTCCACAAAGAAATTTAATTTTCTGAACCAAAACATATTATGCAACTACTTCATATACTTCATATCTGCATTTATTAAAGATCCTATAATATGCGTATTTGACTCTTGTGACATTTAAGCCATGTTAGAATGTTACCTCGTGAAAAACAGACCTGGCGTTGTGTTTGTTTTATTCACACATTTTGGAGTAATCCTTTATTTTTAGTTTGTCTACATCTCTAACCCTCAAAATGCTCTGTTCCACTTCTGAACCCTTCGTTTTAGTAGAGCTTGGCAATTGAAATCATGAAAATGATTCTAATAAAAGTGTATAGAGTTTAAAAAGACAGTGCACCTGCTGTATTACCACTTGATGACATAAAAAGGTGCAACAGAGAAGAACACCGCCTAAATCTGCAGTATTTGTGTATTAAACATGTGTGAATGAAACAACTCCAGGCCTGTTTGTGATGAGGAAACATTATAACACAGATCAGGCAAAGCATTAACATCTCCATGGAGACAATTAGGCAGCAGACCCCACACCAGAAAAGTGACATAGTGAACCTTTAAATAAATCATAAATAAATATGTTTAAGGTCATACTGCGGAACATTCTGAGCAAACCACTAACTCTCTGGTTTAAATGCTGTTCTCCTCTCCATAAACTGCTCCTCCAACTAAGCCCAAAACCTGGACCAAAGCAGGCCGAGATCGTAGTGGGCAGATGAGTCACAGGGACGGCCTCCTGTTACAGCTCTCAGTGACTCAGCTTTTTACAACAGAAATTTAAACATGTTCCAGTTGTGCAATAGTTGTGTAATATACTGTTCATTATCCATGTGATGTTACTGCAGGATTCACAGTGGTGCCAGTATCACAGACCTGCAGCCATAAGAGACATGTGTTGGGGACGAATAAATGTGGAGGAGTGGAGGGCCAGTTTGAATGCAGTCAGCCTATCTGCAAGAGGAGGTAGTAATGTTTATGTTGGGCCAAAAGACAAATGTCCTTTTCTTAGTTTTGAATTTTTCTGCATTTTTGCACAAGTAGTGTAATTTGTGAAAATATCTATGATTAAATGCCCTCTAATGTTTCTGCTGTATTGGAGGATAGAACAGTTTAGTTTATTCAAAACACAACTGAATTGAAGCAGATAACTAAAAATCTGTGCGCCCCCTCAGGCCTGAATAAAGCTCTCTTGAAAGCCTCAAGTTTGGCCCACAGACCGCACTTTGCACACCCTGAAATAAGCATTTGAAAGACTTCAGCTTTGAACTTGTGTTCTGAAAAAAAAAAAATTGTATTTGCACAGAGCAATAAAATGTATTTGACAAGAGACATTTGTGTTTGTTCAAAAGGCTGCAACTTTCAGAACTGAATAATGACTTTAGCTCAGCAGTTCAAGTACACGTCCTGTTTGCGCCCAGTTTCCTTTGGCTAACTGTAGCAAATACCGATGTTCCAAGATCAGTCTCATATGAGCAGATTTTTGTTCATATCATGACAACAGGTCACGTGCACTGCACCAGCAAACACATGAATACTTCAATAAGCACAGTTTCAAAACAGTGAAATCCAAACTGTGGTGCTGTTGAAAGGATACGGTCGGTGCCGGGGAACAGTGTGCGTCCTGTGAGGAGTTCAGCCATGATGCAGCCCACAGACCAGATATCCACTGGACACACACAACACACACAAGGAGCAGGGCTTTAACATAAGGTATGACGCAAAGGCTTAAGATACATGAAATAATGTTAAGATGAAGAACAAACCAATCTGAACCCAACCTTAATTAGTTTCTGTGATCTAACTCAGGCTTGGACAAGGAGGTTTGGCCATTATAAATACATTATAATACTAATTATTATCAAGTTTAAAATGCGCTCTAGCAGATTGATATTGTCTTAAAACATAAAAACCCTGATCAGCTTCATTTTAAACAGTTTGCATTGGTCCAAAGTTATTCCTAACTTAGCATCTTAATTATTAAGCATGAGTTTATAAGTCATAACTTGACTTATATCTCTAGAGCAGATTTTTGCAGTCACAGTAATGCTAATAACAACTAGCAGGCTAAGACGCACTTCCTCATTATTGAACAATAGAGCACTTTATAATTATATTCAGACAGTACACAGTGGGCATAATTTGACCTCAAGAGCTGCTTATGCAATATCTGTAATCTGTACAACATTTGCACACATTTTACTCAAATACACAGGACGAAATCAGGTACAGGCCCTTTAAAATTAACTAAAGAATGAACATTATTATGACAGACCATGCTAAAACCTTTGCTCAGAGCTATACCATTAGTTTGTATATAGAGGAAAGCCACCATCAGTTTACATTTCTATATATTTTTCCCCTTATATACTGTATGCTTTAAATCAAAGTTCCTCTGACCTGGACAACATAAAGTGAAATTGGTGCCCTACTTTTTCCCAAAAGGCTGCTATTATTTACTGTTGTGTGTGGGAGTCATTATAGAAGTACACAGCGCAGTTGCAGATGCAGTAACAGCTTTGAGCACTTATATGAACGAGTCGTATTGATTTGAGTTGTGTCAGAATTCCCACCTGTCATATTGTAGTGCATCCAATTCAGCATGATCTCTGGAGCGCGATACCAGCGAGTGGCCACGTACCCGGTCATCTCATCGTCTGTGTGCCGTGCCAAACCAAAGTCCAAAATCTGAAAAACACACCAAGACATTTAAAAGGGCCTATATTACACATAATTAACTCATGTGAGCTTTAAAGGTGCACTGCATAACCTGACTTGACCTGCTGGTCTCCAGGAAGATGTGCTTGGATGTCCCACAGTATGGCCATAAATTACAGGAGAGGCGAATTCACTCACAGTGAGAATGTTTTTTTTTTTGGAGCAATAAATAATACCTGTAGTTGAATAAATGCAAGACAAATCACTTTAATACCATACTGTAGACAATTTAACCCGAAGCGTTACATCTCCATGGAGGCAAACATGTTGTGGACTCCCTCCAGAAAAGTTACACATTGCAACCTGAAGCCATGTAATAAGGTAATGTTCCCTCCTCAAACATACTGGAGTTGTGTTTTGAGTACTACTAACTATTGTGGTTTTCAGATTCCGGTATGTGATGATGTCATACTTCCAAATGGGGGGCAAGGGCTACATTATACTTGCCACGAAATATTTGAAAGGTAAACTCACAAAGGTTGAACCTGATATTTTAAATTATTGACTAAACCGTAGAAATCACTGTATTACATCTTTTTACATTTTAACAATATTCATTTTAGCTGCCCCCCATCTGTATTAATTAATATTGTCTTATAGAATGCTGTGATATCATCTGAAACCCACCAGTTATTAGTCTGTCTATATCTCCAAAGCCTAAAATACTGTGTTCCACCTTATGATGTCATGAAGCGGTACTTTTCAAGTTAACAGCTCCTTTTAACTTTTGTTTAGTAAAGATCTGAAATTTCAGGTTTGAAATCAATGATTCTAGTGAAGATGTGTGGAGTTTAAAAACATAGTGGAGCACTTCCTGTGATGTCACAATGTGGAACAGAGGTGGAACAAATCAAATCAATGTGTGAATGAAATAAAACACAACTCCAGGTTTGTTTGTAATGAGGAATCAACACTAAAACAGAGATCAGAAAATGATATAATTTACATTAGATTGTACAAATGCACTGAAGAACTTCTACAGTACAACTGTCCTGGGGCAGCAGGGCACATTCTGCTCAAATACATGTAGAGAATTTGGTATATTTTAAGTGATTTTATTGTCATTATGGAATATGGAATGTCTGGATATTTGGATTTATTTGATTAGTTCAATCTAGTTAAGAACCCAAATGATTCAGTCCCAGGTTTAGTTCTGGGTTTAACAGACTATTCAGAAGCTCAAAGTCACTTAACCATTTGGTGCATTATTCATTCACTCCATACCCAGTGGTGGTAAGCTACTATAGACTTTTTTCACAACGGCTGGAAATGACGCGATGTAGGTAAACGTAACTCCTGGTTAATGGTTTTCTGTGGTAAAATGTCTGTGTAAATGTCTGTTGTATGCTAAAGCAGCTTTATAAATCTGCCCCATCACCAAATCTTCAACACAGTCCACAAAGGATAAACACTCTTCCATGAAGAACTTATCTACAACTATAAAGGGAAGAAAGACGAAAGCTTAAAGGAAAATAACGACCACACATTAGAGAACTACTGAACAAAACTAATGTTACGCTCATGAATAAAACAGAAGTAATAAGTAATCAATTAATAAGTAACTTGTTAACTAAAAATTTATTTCATGATGTAGATATAGATTTCTGCAGTTTGAATACTACAGATGTTCACAGATCACACAAATCTCACTGTCTATGCAAATATCCACATCATGAAATAGATTTTTAATCTTAATTGTAGAATAAGTCTGAGTGAACAAGTTCCTTCTGTTTTATTCATGACCATAACGTTAGTTTTGTTCAGTGTGTCACTAATGCGTCGTTGTTGTTCTCCTTTAAGCTTTCTTCCCTTGATAGTTGTGAATAAATTCTTCATGGAAGAATGTTTATCCTTTGTGGAGCTTGTTGATTAAAGATTTGGTGATGGGGCAGATTTATGAAGCTGGTGGAAAATACACAAGATATTTCGCCACAGAAATGCATTAACCGGGTGTTACGTTTACCTACATCGCAGCACTTCCGGCCGTTGTGAAAAAGGTCTATTGTAGCCACAGCTGCCTCGGGGGGTGTAATCTTAGTGAGGGATACATTTTGAACATGCATTAGAATAAATACAGAGTTTTATAAATTATACTTTTAAAATTATCCTGAAAATACATACCTTTAGCTCACAGTCCTCATTTACAGCTAAATTACTTGGCTTCAAGTCCTAAAAATAAAAACAAGAAGTTTTTCATTCAGTGAATTTTTGAGAATCACTTCAAAACAAAAACAGCAGGTTTTGTTTTGGCTCATCCGGCAGAGACCAGATGGACCTTGACAATTATCAGAAGACATTGTTTTCCAAGCAAACACAAGCTAAAACATATTAGTCTAAAATAACATGAGTGCTATATGAAAACAGAAAAGGGCAAATCCAGACTTGGACCAAAACTAGAACTGACTACCAGACTAAACTAGGATTAATCAAAGGGCAAAACCAGGAACAAAAAACAGGTCTAAACTAAGACTAAACAAGGACTTAAACAACACTAACTAAAATGAGACTACACCAAGGGGAAAATAACAAGATTACACCAGGACTACAGAGAGACCAAACCAAGACTAAACCAGGACTAAATTAAGTCTAATTCAGGACTACACTAAGACAAAACCAGGACTAAACCAGGTCTAAACCACATCTAAAATAAGGACTATATCAAGACTAAACTTTGACTACACCAGGTCTAAATCATGCCTAATACCATACAAGACCAAGAGTAAGACTCAACCAGGACTTAACCTGGACTAAACTAGGTATACAAAACAGACAACACTGGGAAGAAAGAGGGACTAAATAAGGACTAAACCAAGACTAAACCAAGAATAAACCAAGACTACACCAACAGTAAAGCAAGATTAAACTGGGACAAAACCAGGCCTATTACTATAAAAAAACAAGACTAACACAGAACTCAACCAGGACTTAACTTGGTCTAAACCAGGACTAAATCAAGGACTACATAAAGGACAATTTCAAGACTAAATTTGGACTGAACCGTTTCGAATACCATACAAAACCAAGGCTTGACATGAGATTTAACCAGAACCTAACCTAAAATTTGGTCTAAAAACAACTAAAGAATATAAACAGCTGTAAAGAGTGTAAAGAGTAAGAAGCCTGAGCAAGGACTCACTCTGTGGATGATGTCTGCGGAGTGGATGTACTGTGGAGAGAAAGGGAAAGGTTACGTTTGTGTAGTGATAAAGCCTTAGTCACAATAAGCCGCACGGGTCGCCACGGGTAGTTCACGGGCAATTTTTGGCCAAGTCCGTACGGGGCTCGCGAGTGGCCCGTACAAGATTCGAAGCTCGTAAACCGCCTGGTAAGCCCGTAGGGAAGAAATGTTCATGCACATTTTTCCTGCGAGCGCAAGCACGTATCTCAAACTTACGGGGGAAGTACGGGTAAGTTCGCGTCACGCAGGTGTGTCGTACAGGTTTTTCCATTTGCGCCAATTGCGTCGTTCCTACGGGTCAAGTGCATGGCTCGCGCGACCCGTATAAAAGCTGATGTGATGCCTGTGCGGGTACACACGAGTCGTAGCAGCCGTACTGTACACACCAAGTTTTCGTCGACGAGATGGAGCCCAAAAGGGGGGCGGCAAACCCTATTCCGAAATACCGTCACTCCGACATACCGCCATTCCGACAAGTTCCAAATTCTTACGCATCTGTCCATTGTAGCTACGCTGCTCGGCTACAAGGACCAAGACCTTTACGCACAATGGTGCATAAGAATGTGGAATTTTTATGAATGAAGAGGTTACGGGGCAGATGGAGGCGCGCGGCAACATGCGCTTGGCTCAAGGCGCAATGATACGGCCAAGCAGAGAAACTACGACAAACTGGATTGTGAGACAATTTGTACATTTTTGTGGATGGACAGGAGTAGTAGACATTCATTACCTGTCGCCAAAGACCAGGGCGCACGAGAATCAGACAGCGGCACTAAAAGGATCAATGATTTAGGAATTTGGGTATTTTCATGAATAAGGGCTAAAGGATTGGAATTTTACCTGTTCATGGAGGACAGAGCGGCTTACACAGGGACCCAGAAATGCGTGGGTCCCTTATAAACTCATAAAAGTTTATAAAGAGGTGGCTGCAGAGCCGCTTCTCCTCGTGCAAGCACTTAAAAGATGCAGACTTGTACGCACTCGTTAACCTGGCATGTCCACCGCGCTCTCACCTGCAGGGAGGTCGGGCGTATACAGCCCCTCTCGTGCCAACAGAGCAGCGTGCGTAAAGCTCTAATGGCACCAGAGACGGACGCATACGGAACAGCGCCTACCGACCCGCATTCAGCACTACAGCCTTATGGATGAGTACGATGTGAAGAAGTAGTGATGACGAGCCCAGTATTATATAGCACGGCGATAAGAGCCACATCTCGTAAGACTGTCGCACGGGCCGCGAGGGTTGTACTTGCCTCGTACAAACAACTAGAGTGCGTTGCAGGTCGCCCGTACGAGATTTTGACTCGTACGAGATCCTTGCGTGGCACTTAAGTATGGCGTACTATTGTCTCACGACACTCTTAAGACCCGCACGACACTCGCAACCCGAAATTTCTCCCAGGGTCCCGTACGAGTCTCACAGGACCCGCACGCCACACTTGCACCACCCTTACGAAGCACTTAGAAAACTCTCTCTCCTCTACGCAGGGATGAGATTGGCCAAAGACAAAAAAGCAGGAAAATATATAGAGCCATAGTGTGGCGGCGCGACAATGACGCGTGCGGCAACAGTGCAGCCATTACACACAATCATCTCATTTTGACACTTTTAATGAAAAGTGTTAATATGCAAACATTTAGTGGCAACTCAGAAATTTCACCATTGGAAAACAATTAATTTGAAAAACTCAAATACATGCCAAACTAAAGGTGCTGACATTTAAGGGGGAAAAAAAATCAAACCACCAAAGAACAGTGTGCAAAGAACAGAGAAAGAGAGAGAGAGAGAGAGAGAGAGAAAGAAAGAAAGAGAGAGAAAAAGATGGAGACAGACATGAAGAGAGAAAGAAAGAGAGGGACAGAGAGAGACAAAGAGATGGAGACAGACATAAAGAGAGAGAGAAAGAGAGGGACAGACAGAGAAATAAGAGAGAAAGAGAAAGGGAGACAGACATACAGAGAGAGAGAAAGAAAGAGACAGAGAGAGAAAGAGAGAGAGAAAGTTGTTGGTGTGTTGGACAAAATTGCACTTGCTGTGACAAAAGGCAGTCTATTTCTAAGCCACTTTAAGATATAATAAAGGAAATTATAATACAATTATGACACTTCTTACAGTTTTTAATCACTCTACACAAAGTGCAGTGCACATGGACTTGTCAGTATACTGACAGTGTTATTATGCAGCATGTCTGATAATGTGCTATAAAGTCTAAATAAACTTGAACTATTAATATTACAGTCATCATCATGGATGTTGTTGTTGTTACTGTGTAGTTATTATGTACACTATTATCTTTTTATGGTGCCTACACAACATTCTGTAATAAGCAATATAACAAGAGTGGGAGTGTGGCTTTTCGTGAATTTCCTCTCAGGTGTGGTTTGACGAATCATCTCTACCAACTCACCAATTCAACTAGTGAAACAGCCTGAGACCACCACAACTGAACTGTTATTATGACTGTGTGCACTTCATATTCTGCGATACCAGCTCTTCTACAAACACTCCGACCACTGTCACCCTCCCGACTTGGAAGACTGAGTGTAAAACATGCCTATTACCAGATTTTTGGGACTCTGCGCACCGGATTATAAGGCACATTTAGCAGAAGTGTGTGTCCCAGAAGAAACAGCGAATGAGATGCCGGATTTTTTCGCCGCTTACAGATTGAACCAGGAGGACTAAACCGGGACTAGCCTTGGAGTTGAGCGCAAAAGAGAGACTCCACGGAGCAGGGTGTCCATGGAGCAGGGTGTCCGCGCTCCGCGGAGCAGGGTGTGGTCGGGCCCCGTGGCGCGCAGAGCTCTGCGCAGTTTGAAATCTGTTTCATAAACATGTCTTTTAACAGGTGTCATTTTGGGTTCCTTATCGGTCCTTATGCACACATTACTCTTCGTGGAGTAATACATACTGGCTCCTGACTACGGGAGCGATAATTCTTAAGCGCCATGTACCACTTAAAATCGGTTAGAAGTCAGTACTTTGCAAGAATTTCAACCACTGCCACCATTCAGGCTGCATCCATAAAAATCATATTAAATGTACTTCTCCCTATCTCAGTTAACCAAATAAGCCAATACAGACTGTGGTACAACCTGCAACTTAAACGGCCAGTCAAAACATTAGCCACACCCTCTCATTCAATGTTTTTTTTTCTTTAGTTTTAAAAATATATATATACATTTTATGTATATTATATTCAAATCTTCAGTATTCACCCTTATGCGTTCTCGAAAGTGCTGCAAACCCTTGGCCTTTTCAATGTCAAGAGTTCAATGTAAAAGTGTAAAAACTGTTTAAAACAAGTTTTGACTTACTTTGAGTTTATTTTCTGTTTACTACATTCCACATGTATCATTCATAGTTCTGATGCCTTCAGAGAGGATCTACAGTGGAAATAATCATCTTCTGACTGCTCCTGTATATACATAGATAATGGTGTATATAGGTGTAATAGAACACAAACCTTTAGGCCTCTGAGGATTTGATAAATAAGGAACTGAACATGGTCGTCTGTTAACTTCTGACACTTCACAATGTTATTTAGATCTGCTCCCATCAGGTGAGTCACCAAATACCTGCACAAAAACAGATTAGCATGAGTAAGGAGTGGGCGATATGGACAGTGGCTTACCATTTTATATTATTATCTCATTGACAATGTTCAAACAATATTGTAGCAGTCTAGAGTTCTAATGGAGCCAATCTACAATCTACAGCCAATCCTCAGTCGGTAAAAGCATTGCAAAAGAGTTGAGACGTTAAAGTTCCTGCAAGTCATAAGTCCAGAATCAAATGTAGTGTAATGGCCATAAGTTAACCTGACTGTTTTATGCAGATTTCATTTTTTGGACAAGAAAATGTAATTATGGCAAAAGAAGTCCAAAAGTAATATTGTTTTTCTGGTAAAACTTACACATCATTGAACTCCTCCAAAGACGTGCAAGGCGTAAAAACATCTAATAGACCAATTACCTGCAAGAAAAAGAAAACGGGAAACATTATTAAAACTAATTTCAAAATAAATTGCGTTAAAATGTAATCTTCACAAGAATCACTGTATGTTTCCACAAAAGTGTCTTGCTCCAGTACAGATATATTGTATAAGCAGTTCTTGAGGTGAGAATAAGTCCACAGTGTTCTGTCAGCATCAGATTATAAAGTGGTTTACTGTCCGATAATCTGGAAGTGTGCGGTTCGCATACCAGTTGTTAGCATTATAGTCACTCTGCCTCTGAAAGTTGTGAAAAGTCATTATAAACTCCTTGCAGTGAATAATTAAGGTGCTCTGAATGCCTAAGGGAAGTGAGGAATAACTTTGGATCACTGCACACCTTCAAATTAACTAGCTCTGTTTTTCACATTTTTAAGACAGAAAAATATCTGCTACAGAGCCTTGAAATAAACTATCAAACAATGCATTTGTGTGTCCTTTATTCAGACGGTTGACAGCTGCTTGGTTTTCATGGTCATTTCTGGTTGATATCAGGTGAAGCGATGGCTGGTCCACTCACTGTCTGTTTTGGAAACCACAAGCTTTTAATCATTTAAATGGGCCAGATAACAACAGCAGCATATAGAGTTACACTGAAAAACAAGACAGTACTACACATACTACACAACCCAGGGTCCTTTGATTAATATATTTCACTATAATGTCCAACTTTAAAAGTGCTGTACCTGATTTTTACTGTCTTAAAAATGTGAAAAACACAACTAGTTTATTTTAAGTTCATTTGCACTGGTTCAAAGTTCTTCCTCACTTCCCTTCTGCATTCAGAGCGTCCTCATTATTCACCACAATGAGTTTATAAGCACTTTTCACAACTTTCAAAGAACAGAGCGGAGTTTTGCCATGATGGTGAAGCAAACAACATTTATATAACATTAGTGCCTGATTCTCAGATAATAAAACACTTAATAATTAGATGAAGACCGTACGCAACAGACTTATTTTCATGTCAACAACTGCTTATACAGTAGCTCTGTGCTGGGGCAAAAAATACATGGGGGAAAAAAAAAAATTACAATCATGCACCGGGCCTTTAGTAAGTCTCCATGTGATTATTTTTTAGTTACACGTTGCATTTATTCAGCATTTCTATGTGAAAAAAAACAACAAAAAAACACTTATTGATATTGATTGATTCTGTTATTAATCATTAACGCAAAACCTTCCATTTGAAAATACATATAAGTTACAAATATGTACCTAGATTTTGTGCAGTTTTGTGACGTATAAAACATAAAATGAATAAAATATACTTTGAACATGAAATAAGGCATAGAAAAACATAAATGTATCCAAAATAAACTATATATGCAGCTGTTCTTCAATCTCTATATTGAAAACATAAAATAAATATATTTATATATTTATTTATACAAAAAAATATCCCAAAATAAACTTTGTTAAGCTTTAATCGTTTCAACTTGACTGGGACTGAACCTGGACTAAACCTGGACTAAACCTGGACTAAACCTGGACTAAACCTGGACTAAACCAGGACTAAACCAGGACTAAACCAGGACTAAACCAGGACTAAACCAGGACTCATTTCAACTCGATTATATTTGGAGTTTGAAGATCATTTGAGACACAAATCAAAATCGCAATCAAAATTCAATAAATTCCACAGCCTTAAGACAGACCCTCTACCAGAAAAGTTACATTGCACCTTTACTTGTTTGTTTCTGTATCTCTCTATACAAATACTAGTGTGATAATGACTCTTCACCATTGGAGCTGACTGAAAGCTATCAAACATGTTTTATTCAACAGTTAGTGCTCTGGATTTAAATTATAATGCCGCAAATCCCCAAATCCCCAAACTATGCCCCCCTTGCCCCCCTCCACACCCCATGTCCCCAGGTTTATTGAAAGATCTGCTTTCCCCCCCGGGATACAAGCTCAAAGCTGATTGGTCCATCGCAGACTCAACTGACAGCTGATTGGGGGATAAAGCCTTCCCAAAAATCAACATGTGAACAGCGTCATGGCAACAGCGAGAGCAAAACACTCCATCCTTCGAGTCCTCCGTCTCCAGGAATGTGAGAGTCCTAGTCCGAAATGGTACAATGATGATTTGTTTATGTCAGGTTTAGAACTATTAAAAAGGGCCCATGTTGTGTATTTTCTGATCTATGTTGTTTCTTCATCACAAACAGACCTGGAGCTAGGTTCTGTTTGATTTACACATGTTTAACACACAAACCCTGCAAACACTCTGTTGTTTCACCTCATGTAGTAGCACAGGAAGTGCTCCACTGTGTCTTTAAATTCCTTACATATTTACTTGGATGATTTCAGCCCTGAATTTGCAGATCTTTACTGAACTAAAAGTAAAACGTAGTTGTTAAATTGAAAACTACCGTTTCATGACATCACAAAGCAGAACGGAGCATTTTGAACTTCGGAGATGTAAACGGGGTTTACTCAAACATGTGTAAATGAAACAAAACACAACTCCAGGTATTTTTGATGAGGTAACAGCATTATAACATGGTTTAAAGCTCACATGACTCATTTGTGTAATGTAGGACCTTTAAACATAAATCATAAATACAATTTGAATTATAATACATGTTAGAAAAAAAATTTCCAGCAGCCAAATTCATTCAGTATATTATTTGGGTGGAGGAAACATTGAACACATTTTAATTACAATATAAGAATCTGTTGAAACTATTGATGATTTTGTCATTTTGCCTTTAAAAATGATGTTGAATACAAACATAAAGAAGCTACATGGATGAACAGAATTTGCCCTTCTTTTGTTATAGAGCAGAGCTGGAGCACTGAGGGATTACACAGATATTTCTCTACATTTAATATGGAGAGCATATGCAGGCTAATTCAGTAACTGTATTCCACATCTTGCACAAAGAGATTTGAACATTTTTCTGCATTTGCTTTTCCAGACCCAAAGTGCTTACATTGCATTATTCATTCCTACACTACTAAGCTCCTATAGAAGTCAGAGCTGGCCTAAGGTGGACTGTTCACAGTGTGCCAGTCTGATCCCCTCCTCCCATCACATCATTCATGTATAGAGTGCAGTGGATGAAGTGTTTTGCTTAAGGACACAATGACAGATTGCAATGTCTGGTGCCAAGTAGGGCTGCATGTGTTTGGAAAAAAACTAAATCTAATTGTGACTTTTAAAAGTATTAACATTTGTAATATACAGTATGTTTAAAGGACTGAGTTCACCGTGCACACTATAAGCAGCAAGAACATGCTTGTAGAGATGGAAACTACACATGTTTCTATTAAAAGACAGGATATTTAGTTAATCACAGAGGACATTCTGTTACCAAAAGAACTGCAGTCTTTGGGTTGTGCCAACTCATATTTTCATTTTGATTCAACTGTGACATATTGTGCACCTCTGCAACAACTCAGCTGTGTTTAATCTATTGAAACACCATCCATCCATTCCATGGATTTATTTATTTCGAGCAGATTAATGAACACAAGGAGTAAATGTATCCAGTACACTTAAATAAGAAAGCATGTGAAATGTACATTAAGTTTGAAAAGGAGTGGGAAGAAAAAACCTATTAAATCCCACCACTGTCTTCCATTAGGACATACTTTAAATGCTTTGTTTAAGTTTCTTTTTCAGTTGGACAAAAAACAGAAATATATAAATTAATTCTGTTGGTGGTATTAACTGCATCAAAATATTACTGACACTAAATGAGATGTACAGAGTTACTGTCGCCATCAGGCTTTTTTGAACTTTTGGAGTTCTAGTATTTCTACTAAATTATGCTTACAGATTTTCCATTAGCACTGCACAAATTATCACAATTGGAATAAAAACGGCAATATGTCCTGGTGCAATTACGAAATTAAAAAGACTGCCATGACTTATTTATTGACCTATAACTGTAGTTTAGATCTATGCAAACTTTCTAAAAAGCACAGAATTCTTGTATTAGTTTTTCACTTCATATTTCTGTCTTCTCTCAAATCTTCATGCTAATTGAGTTGTGTCCAATGTGCACCCTAAACTACTTTTTAAACATGCAATTCCAATCATAATCGTAATTATTATGATAATGTTTTTATTTAAAAAAATTCTATATTTTTTCCCCACAATTTTTTTCATTTTGCATTATTCAAATGTTTCCATATTGTTTCTTCTACAAACCAGTATTATCAATAACAGTAATCCTATTTACTAAAGCATATTATGAACTGAACGCTTGTTTCTGGACCAAAGCGCTGAGCAGCACTTGAACCAAACAGCTTTAGAAAAAGACTGCACGAGGTTATGGTCCATAACTACTATATATACTAGTATATATACTAGTGTAGTCACAATAACACCATTTCAACCTCCAATAGCATAGACTTAATCTTTCTTCTTTCTAAAGCTATGCAGGAAAGCTTCATTTCTGTCCTTTTACTGGGATGCTTTTAGTATTGAGTTTTGATACTAGTTAGAGTATCGATTAGTATCTGATTTTCAATGTTTTACCAACCCTAATCCACATACACAGCAGGAACAGAGACATGTGTTGAAATGCTGATCTTGCACAAGAGAAGCAGACAGTTTAAATTATGGACAAGTGGACCTCATATGGAAACAGTTTATAAAATATGGGAAGACATGATTCACTTTAGTTAAAATGCGTAAATACGTAACAAAGCTACACATTTAAAGGCACGGTATTGGATTTGAGCCAAATCCATCTTATCCCAGGACAGATATGTTGGATAAGCAGCTCATAAGTTCAAAATAAGTTATTGGTCTACTGTCTGCATCTAAAGATTTATATTCTCAGATAATTAGGACGTGCGTGTTAGCATGCTAGTTTTTGCTCTCCTTCCTCTCTCTCTCCATATTACTCACATTTTCGTGTTTCATATGCTTGAGCAGCCGTAGTTCTCTGTATGTTCTCTTGGCGTGAATAATGGACTGGAATGGTCTGGACAGCTTCTTCACAGCCACCCTCAACCCTGTCTTCACATCAAACGCAGAACTACAGGAGAGAAAAGATCCATAGTTAGTTTACTGAAACTTAAGACCATGTAAACATCTCAGGAAAGGCCCAACTTTGTCCCGCTGATGCCATTACTATAGATGCTTCAATCTAGTAGTTTGGTTTCAATACTAGTTTTAAAATGGCAGCATGAGCGGCTAGAACTCATGCTCCACAGCAAGGAGGTTCCAGGTTCAATCCCTTGCTCGCCCAAGGATTGTGGGGAGTTTGCATGTTCTTCCCCTGTCTGGGTGGGTGTCCTCTGGGCACTGAGGTTTCCCCCATCAACCCAAACCGTCAAGTCCTCCATCTGAGGTAGTCCTGACTGAGATGAATCCCTGAGTGTGGGACTGTGTGTCCTGAGGAGATGCACCATCAGCATTTAACCCAGCCTTCAACGACTGGTTAGATTAATTAATTCAGAGGACAAATTTCCCTACGGGAAAGTGCACCTTACTTGATTAGTATACAGAAATCTGAACAGCTGAACTAATACAAGAATCCCACTTATTTCACAACAGGTTTGTAGAGCTCTAGACTTTTACATAGAATAAGAACACATGGAGACATGGGGAAGGCATCTGACACACGGGGAAGACATCTGACTGATACGTAACATGTTATAAACTACAGGCTTAGAGCAATTTTGTGGTCTGAAAATAGCTATGGATATTGTTATTTTGATTTGATTGTAATTAAACTTGCAATATTAATGTCAATCCCAAATATGGGTTGTGTGGGTTTCTTGTGTGCATCATCGCACAGCAGAGAACGGTCCTAGAGAGTTTGAGGAAGTGGACTTGTTGCACAGAGGAAGTTTAGTCTGGTCTCCCTTAAAGTGTGACTTCACTAAATGTCCTGCAGCTTCTGGGGATTTACCATTTACAAAACAGATGCAATTGTTGCAAAATCTTTTCTGTAAAGGGCTGTGGTGTTATGCCCTACATATTCTCCAAATGTTGCAATGCTTTTCACCCAACAATTTATGTTAGAAATAAAAAATAGTTACAATTATAGACTGAATCATGACAGAGAATATCAAATAAATTATTAAAGAATTGTTTGTGGTAAGTACTGAGATTAGATTAGCCATATTCCGTCATAGTTCACATTTGAAACACGTCCACAAGAATTGACAAAAAGACAAAAAATGATCTGACAAACTAATACAAGAATCACATTTCAGAACATGTTTGTACAGATCTAAACTACAGGGTTAGCAGTTTTTATGCAGAATAAAACGAGATTTTGTTGTTTGTGAAAGAAATGATGGTGCTTCAAAAACTGCCGGAAAGACATGGCAGGCCCAAATGTGTAGTGAGGGTCTGTTGGGAACGTCTGGCGGAGCCCTCTGTCAGGGGGACTTTCAACTCGCACCTCCGGGAGGACTTCTCCCGGATTCCGGGGGAGGCTGGAGATATGGAGTCCGAGTGGGCTTCATTCTCGGCCTCTATTGTCAATGCGGCTGCTCGGAGCTGTGGGCGTAAGGTCTGTGGTGCCTGTCGCGGCGGCAATCCCCGAACCCGGTGGTGGACACCAGAAGTAAGGGATGCTGTCAAGCTGAAGAAGGAATCCTATTCTGCCTTGCTGGCTTGGGGGACTCCTGAAGCAGCTGACGGGTACCGGCGGGCCAAGCGTGCTGCAGCCCGTGCGGTTGCGCAGGCAAAAACTCGGAGCTGGGAGGAGTTCGGGGAGGCCATGGAGGAGGACTAATGAACGGCCTCAAAGAGATTCTGGCAAATCGTCCGGTGCCTCAGGAGGGGGAAGCAGTTCTTCACCAACACTGTTTACAGTGCGGGGGGAGCTGTTGACCTCGACTGGGGACGTTGTCCGGCGGTGGAAGGAATACTTTGAGGATCTCCTCAATCCCACCGTCACGTCTTCCGAGGAGGAAGCCAAGGCTGGGGACTTGGAGACGGACTCATCCATCACCCTGGCTGAAGTCACTGAGGTGGTTGGAAAGCTCCTTGGTGGCAAGGCTCCGGGGTTGGATGAGATCCGTCCTGAGTACCTTAAGTCTCTAGATGTTGTGGGGCTGTCTTGGCTGACACGCCTCTTCAACGTCGCGTGGCGGTCAGGGACAGTACCTCTGGACTGGCAAACCGGGGTGGTGGTCCCTCTGTATAAGAAGGGGGACCGGAGGGTGTGTTCCAACTATAGGGGGATCACACTCCTCAGCCTTCCCGGTAAGGTCTATGCTAGGGTACTGGAGAGGAGAATCCGGCCAATAGTCGAACCTCGGATCCAGGAAGAGCAGTGTGGTTTTCGTCCTGGCCGTGGAACACTGGACCAGCTCTATACTCTCCATAGGGTGCTCGAGGGTTCATGGGAGTTTGCCCAACCGGTCCACATGTGCTTTGTGGATCTGGAGAAGGCATTCGACCGTGTCCCTCGTGGTCTCTCGGCTGGCCTGGGAACGCCTTGGGATTCCCCCGGAGGAACTGGAGGACGTGTCTGGGGTGAGGGAAGTCTGGGAGTCCCTACTTAGGCTGCTGCCCCCGCGACCCGGCCCCGGATAAGCGAACGAAAATGGATGGATGGATAATTGCATCCGCTCAACTTGTGATTTCTATTCGTCTGTGACTAATCTTACAGCCAGAGTAAGAATGCATGTTTATCATAGTCTGTTTGTAGCATTAAAACAACTGTAGTCCAATAAATGCATGATGGATGCACTTAATTCCACATTGAAGAATTTTTCAGGAAAATCTATGTATAAACAAAGTTGCATAATGAACCTTTAGAAGAACCAAGGGGTCGCTAATCCATCTTCAGCTCTACAGGAAATCTTGTTGTAATCACAGTGTAGCTCACAGCAGACAGACAGGCTCAGAGCAGAGGAGGTGATCCGAGGAGAAGTCATTTCACAAACACTATATTAAAAAGCTTTGTCTCTGATTCAACAACACGCCTCAGACAGGAACGCACAGAACTGGATCCTCCATTCACAACCTGACAGGCCCCTCGGAGCTAATGTGAACGTTAATGCACCTCACTCTTCTGGTTACACGGGGAATCGCATTGTCTGGGATGTTGCGCAGTATGGCATTAAAATGATGTCGAACCACCAGGGCATGTTACCAGTCAGATCTGTGGAGAGGCAAGCCAGCTTACAGTCAGAATGCAGATATTTCAAGGTATTTTTAGTAGCATTAAAACATCTGTGATCAAATAGATGTGCTCGTAGAAGTTTAGTGTATCAGAGGTAATATCTGTACTGGGGTGGGCGATATCTCGATATTTTAAATATATCGAGATATTTTTTAAACTCGATATGAATACTGACATATTGTATACATCGATATAAAGCTTATATTCAATTCTGATTTCGCAGCTTCGCTTGTTTGTCTTCTCTGTCGCCGCCGCGCGCCCCCGCCTCCCTGATTTTGTTCTATCGTGTCTCCTTCACTCCTCACTACCACCGTGAACGCCGAAAGTTGGTGCCAGTGAAAAGCTTCTAGCGCCACGAAACTTTTCCACCATTTACAGACAAGGCCATCGGCAGTATCTCATATTCCACCGAGTCGTATCCTTTAGTCCAAAAGAAGATGAACCGCAGGAGCGGCACGTGGAGTGCGCTGTTTATGCAAATTAGCCATGCGCTTTTTAAGTTTCGTTTCTGTAAAACGTAAACAAGTCTGCGCAAAGCTGCATTAAACACATTATAATGTCAAATGGGCTGATGTGGCTCTAGAGGCGTTATGCTATATGTTGTACACTTTAGTAATGTAAAGTTTATTCATGCAGAAGATTTTAATTAATAATCTGTTGCAGTGTCACTTGTACAATTGTGTTTGGAAACGTTGAGTTTGATCTGCGCAGTGGATTGTAGGATACCTCATAACTCCTTACTGCTGGATAGGAACACGGATCTGTTAAAATAAGGAACATCCTGAGCTTCTTCTGCTAAAGGAGCTCATGGTTCTGATTATGGTCTGGATAACAGAGTTAATGCAAAGATGAGCTTGTGTTGAGTTGTTTTATTTATGAATGAACAGAAGGAAATATGTATTATTTCTTTTATTTTACAGTTAAATAATTATTATTTATGTAATTATTTCTTTTGTGTAATCTTAAATGTTCCTATATGAACTGCCGACCTCTTACACTTTAATTAAAAAAAGACCTTGTGGAATTTGGCAGATTTGTTTTTGCAGTTTTCAGTTTTAGGGGGTTATTTTTTCCTGTACAGATATCAAGATATATATCGTATATCGATATATAGCAAAATATATCGATAAATATTTTTTTATCCATATCGCCCAGCCCTAATCTGTACACCTGGCTGAGTTCTTCTCTCAAACTGAAAACACTCTGTCCCATCTTGTGATGTCATGTGGTAATACAGCAAGTGATCCACTGTGTTTTTAAACTCCATACACCTTCACTAGAATCATTTGGATCATTTCAGCCTTGGAATTGTCAATCTCTACTGAATTAAAGGTAAAAGGAGCTGTGCACTTGAAAACTACCACTTGATGACATCACAAAGTGGAACAGAGCAGTAGGGATTACTCAAACATCTGTGTGTGCTTAATTAATTGATGCAGATGCTATTGGATATTTCATACTGTGATTTTAAACTGATTTATTATATTACTGGTGTTTTATTTGCCTTGTGGTGTTACCTGCGTTTATCCTTAATGCCGTACTGCGGACCATTCGAGGCAAAGTAACAGCATCTCCATGGAGACAAGTCGATACTGGACCCTCCTAACATTTGAGAGACAACTGAAATTTGAACTAACAAACAAGAATCCCATGCATTTCAGAACATGTTTTAAAGGTCTAAACGAAAGGATTCGCAGCTTTTACACAGAAGCCGACGCAATGGACACACAGGGGTATGTCCTGGTTTTAGCCCTGGTTTTAGCCCTGGTTTTAGCCCTGGTTTTATGCCGCATTTCTATTGCGCTCGGGACTTGGGGAAACCAACCTCCACCTCGAGAAAGTGCAATGGAACGACCACTCAAATCGGTGTTCCGAAACACAAACTCGGGCTAGTTCAGTTTAGATTGAGTTTGTTGGACATTAAACTTTATCCATATTTTCCCCAACTGCTGCAATGGAACACATTTACAGCGGATGTTGGGAGATGATGACTGATTTGGATTTATCGCCTACCAACACTCAATAGAATGCAGGGTTAGTCCTCACATCATCAGGTTTTCCCCATGGTGCTGATACTGGAGGGCAGCACAATTAATGATACTTAAATCGGAGTTTGAATTTCCTTCACA